TAATATAATATAATATAATATAATATAATATAATATAATATAATATAATATAATATAATATAATATAATATATATTTGTGTTTTTTATATTTCAAGACATCCAGAAACTCTTATCCCTCAGCTCCACTGTCCTTTTGTCACTTTGACTTGTAAAAACAAAAAGGTCACATAGAGAAATCTGTGCCTACAGAGGAAGCGGAATCAGAAACAAGCCCATTTCTGGGTTTATCTGAGAATCGACAGTGGAAAGCCAACTGTGCACCTTCAGTCGACCACACATTACAGCAGCAGGACAAACGAATGCTCCTCAAATTGGTGTAAAAGTGGGCGAAGTACATTTCAAAGGACACTTCCCTTTCATTTTACTGATGTTTTTGCTTATGAAACAGTAACTCATCTGTGCAGATCATAGCCTGAAAAAATCATCACGACAAATCATCCCACCAGACGTGAATTCCTTGTTGTGGACTTGTGTGTGCAGTGTGTGAGCTGCAGTGTGCACAGACCTGCTCTCTCCTGTACTCCTGCCAGAGCAGTTTGGGGCAGAGGGCTCCCTGTGACAGCAGCTCCCTGCTGGACTCCATCAGAGCACACAGCTGGACCTGCAGGGGGGCAGACGCGGAGTCCCCTTATTTAATATCTGTGAACTCAATCTGCCACTTCGGCTGAGACGCGTTGAGCCACGGACGTGGGCGTCGCGCCTCCTGATGGGACGCAGCGGGTGGTGGCGGCAGGAAGGTCAGACCTAATGCGACAGCGACGGAGGAGCTCCCCGCTTTTAGTTCACACTCAGCCTGACGCACTTTACTCTGCAGCTTTAGAGCGTTAAATTGTGCGTCAGATAAACCGAGCTGTGCATCTACCGGTGTGAAATTACTCTACTTAGGTGGAAAACAAACGCTTCACTAAACAGAAAATACATCCAAATCTGTAGTCAGAGCAGCTGTCACAGTCTGAAACTCTTCTTTGTTTTGGTGCTTTCATGTTTGTTTTCCCTCCCCAACCTGGATTTTTTTTTGTTTAGAGCAGTTACTCACTCTGTGTGGGGACGAAAGCATCTCTCCCCCCTCGTTTTGCTCCCCCTCCTCAGGTCCCTCTGTGATCTCCCTCAGTCTCTCCAGCACCACCTTCGCAGACAGCACCGTGACCGAGACGCCCAGCGGCGCGGCCTGACGCCGCAGCTCACACGCTGGGCACAAGATAAAAGGAGACAGCTCTTAGGTAGTTTCCGCCTCATCCGAGTGGCTGCTCTCAGGATGTGACGACTACCATAATAGACGCCTCTAAACAACCTGCCTGTTCTGCTTTGTTTTTTGTTTTTTAAGCAAGAGAGTCATGAGCCAACAGACAGAAACAGAGGAGACTCAGCAGTGTCAGAGGGAGAGAAAACTATCCAAAAACGTTGGTTAATTAGTCAGCGAGGTCTCAACGGAGCAGGTGGACTGTGGTGGGAAAAGGGAGGGAGTCGCTCAGGCTGCATGAGCTCAGAGATAATTAAAGTGGGAAAGAGGGAAAAAAAAACAACTTTGTCATCCAATTAAAAATTCACATTAATCAGATATTTTCACAATCTCTCAGTTCATGTTTATTCAGCAGCTCTAAAAGCTCTGATAAAATATTAAAATATCCCCTCACTGTGCAAGCTGTATCTTCCATTTATCCCGGCATCTTTCCGAACCAGATTTTAACACATGACCTAACACATGATGCATGTCTTTTTACCAGCTGCTCTCAAACACTTACCCATAAGTGAGCCTGAAAACTCAGAGGAGATGCCGTCAGTCCGTTGGCTCGCTTTATTTTCAGGGTGCTGCTGAGCATTGCATGACTCCGTACTCTAGAAAAAGTGAGAAAAAAACACCCAGAACTTCACTTCAATAACGTATCCTAAATGAAAAAGACATCTTAAATTGCTTTTTAAAGTAATCAAAGTAATTTGTCAAATGTCAAAAGAAGTTTGTAGTTGAGTTTAAACCAATTAACGTAAACCAGTTAAATCTTGCTTAAGACTCACCCAAGTTTTTAAGTGAGGCTTGAGGGGAAAATAACAATTGCAACGATAGCTTAAACTATTCTGATTTAGGCTTTGAACTCCGCTTTGAGCTCACTTACCCCCACTTCCCTGAAGAGGCTGCGGAGGTCCTGATGTTGCTCCAGCAGCTGGATTGCTGCTTTGTGCAGCTGCTCACCATCTCCCTGCTTTGGCTTCTTTACCACACGACCAGCTGAGAGCAAACCGGAACAGATATTTTTTTTAAAACATGCAAAGCTATTGCTCCAAACTGAATAACAGAGTTTGACCAACAGCAGAGGGAATCTAAACTTTGTTTGACAACAGATAAAGTTAAGAAGTTAAGAGTTAGGACACCACTTTCGCCTAGTTGATTACTTTAGATGTACAAGACATAACTTGCCAGAGTTTTTTTATGCATTATAACATTTACAGAAAGTAAAAGAGTTTATCTGCAAGAGATAAAACCCTGCTAGGTTTTTTTAAAGTAAGTAATTTGTACTTGTCTTTACATAAAAGTCTATTAGAAGTAACACTAAAAGGTGTATATTTAATGACAGAAAACAGTTCAAATAGGAATAGCACTGAGGTTTTAGCACGTATCTTAATTTCTGTCAGTTATATTTAGAAAGATGCCCGTTAACTCACCGAGGAGGCTCGACAGGGTCCTTTTCTGAGCTACCGACTCACACGAAGCACTAAGAGACATTTTACCGTGAATATAAGCAAAATAGAACGTTTCTATATGAAGTTTACGCCTAAATTATCTCATTATAAATGTTTTGAAAGGTATGACAAGGTAAAACAGTGCTGTCATCGACTGTTTTTCCTGATCAAGTGGAAAAGGCACTGTTTTGGTTCTTCTTTTCCTCCATGTTTCCCTCTCGCGCTTCTTCCTCTCATTGGCCCGTAAAGTAGCCAATCAGGAAAGCGCCTCTGGTGGTGGGCCAACCTAAACCTATACCGGTATCTAAGCGTCTTAGCTCTAAAACGCACCAAAATTGATTCACATTAAGTTAATTTGTCATATGATAATTAAATGTAATACACAATGCTCATCACAACATGGCGGGAAGTAGAGGAGAAAATTTAAAGGACCTGTGAGTTAAAAGAAAAAATCACGACTGTCAGAACTTTGTATCAAATACTGATACTACTCTGATGAGCCTAGCCTTTCCTTATGCCTCCTGTTTCTTTCTTCAATAGGCCACATATTTTTGCTCTGCGTGAGTGCTCACTGTAAATTATCCATAACAAAGGCATTCAGTACATTCTCTGCATGACTTGTATGTTGTGTGTCATGAGCCGGTTATGGTGACCCTAGAAATCTGAGATGGGCTGTTGTGAGGGCCTACTTAACTGCTCAAATCCCCAGATTGAAGATTGCAACAGGGGTGAAAAACAAAACACACCCTCGCAAGTCATTACATGATCTTAATGACCCAAATTCTCAAGAGGTTACACAACTTATTGTTGTTGCTGAACACTTTGTCTGCACACTGAATGGCTGTGGTCATATGCAGACAAAGTGTTCAGCAACAACAATAAATGATGTTTATTCAAGCGCTACATTTCTTAAAGTCAAAGTTAAAGTCAAATCTTGTGTAGACAAAACAAGTGGTTGTTGGATGTTTAAAACTTAACTAAAAGTTACTCTAAACGTTAAAAGCATTAAAAGATACTTTAAGACTACTTAGAAAACCGAGTATTTTCCTCACAATTGAGGAAGCTCACCAAAGCAAAATTAAAAGTAAAAATCTTTAAAAATGGTGTCAGGAAAACTTCAAGGGAAATCAGGAAAACTGATTTTGAAATTGAAATAAAGCTGAATGCTCATAAATGTAAAATCATTACATTTTACAATGTAAGATTACCAATAAAACAAAAGAATAGGAGTGTCAAAGGTCAGATGGCATATTTAAGAATGATCACCTGATGGATTAAAAAAAGAAAAAATAATTTACAGATGCCACACTTAACAAAAACCAAAAAGTCTATTCTAAGGCGGATTTGTGGGGACAGTTATCAGTGCTTTTTAAGAGGATGTGTTATTGTGGCTGGCTGATATTGTCTTCAGCCTGTCTGTGTGTAGATGTCATAAAGGGAAAATGTGGTTTTAATCACTCTGAAAGATCACATCTGTTGAAATGCAGAGGAAACATGCTGCACTGAGTTTGCAAACATGTATTGCACAATGTGGGTGTAGACAAGCTGCTCATTGACATCACAACTGCCGTGATCCCATTACAAGAGGTTTTCCAGTCTTAACTCTGTCATCACATCGGACTCTGGTGGTCCCTTTTCCACCTTCAGTGTCACCTGACTCCCTCTCAGGGACACGGGATTGACTTCACAACTTTTACTTCCACTAAACCTTCCTCTACTGCAGAAAATTCTCATGCCATGAGAAACGAGGACCTGGGTCCTCCAGCTCCATCGGCGGGCCTCCTCAGTGCACAGTGAGCTCCTCTGCCCACAGACACCCACGTGATTTCCAGACTTCCCAGCTTTCTTTTAGTAGAACGGGCAGCAGGAAAGCCGCCTCATGGGAGCCGCACCAGAGAGCTCATAAAAACTTAATGCAATGTGTCCTCATAAATTTTTAAGGAGGCTTTCTTCCCATTGTGCCGCTAATGTGCTTGGTGGAAATATAAACAGCGGGGCTGATGTCCAGGGCTTTGAGCAGCAGCAGCGGAAGAGAGCGTCATCACCTGTCAGCTCGGTGAAAAACACCACACACTGACACCTCAGGGCACAAACACACACACACTCACACACACCTACACAAACACGCACATGAACACTCAAGAGATTGTTGGCCTATTGCCTCAGAGGACATTGCACTGACTTAAATTAATTTACTGGTGTCTAAGCCTGAAACACCGTGTGCTCTGACCTTTTTATAAGTATGAGCCAGGACCTAACATGACCTTTAACCTATAACTGACATTAAGAAAACCATGACTTTATTTTCATGCAACCATATCCTTTATAAAGCCACCATGAAACCGTTTGTAAACATCACCAAAGGTTATCCTCAGACTACACCAGACCTGACCTTAATTCAGACGGTATTTGCTTCAGCAGGTCTGTCAGAGTCCACAAAAATAAGCTGGATTTGCTCATTTTATTAATCGCGCTCCGGTTTTGTGCAAACTGAACATTTGCAAAAGGCCTTTATCCTCCACAACTGGACAGTACATCCACGTGCTTCCAAAAATTAAACCAAGACAATGAATGACAACAGGCTGTGAGCAGCCTGTGTAGGCCGAGCCCGCCAAGTGCCATCTGCAGGAGAAAAAAAAGGCTCCATGGAAATCTGTTCTCTGCAATCGCAAACGGAGCCCAAAGTTTTGCAGCTTGTACTCAGAGTGAAGAATTTGGGCTCTCTAATGTGTGGCCAGTGCACGTGGATGTGGATTACTCTCTATCGAACCGAGGGAACTCGCTTAATAAATCCCTAAACACAACTTGCAGTAAGGACAGTTTACAGAAACGGATTAGGATATGAAAGGAGGCATTATTGCAAGCCCTGCTTTTTCCTTTTTTTCCTTTTAATTTGATTTACTTATTCTGCAGCTGGCAGCAGTCTGGGCTTCAGATCAGTGTGATTGTGTTTACGTAATGTGATCCATCACTTTCATTACATGCAGGTTTTTAAGGTTCTTTTGGTGGCAGTCACGTTTGTCCCCACCAGCTGAATTTGTTTTCTGTTTTCCTGAATTTATAGTCCAGGAAGCGGATGCTCTTCGTCCTCAGCAGGTATCCCTGACCTGCTGTTATGGTGTGCTTGCATTCATCCCTCTCTCCCTCCTCCCCGTTTCTGTCAAAGGTTTTTTCCTCTCAAAGGGTTTTTTTTTCTTTCCACAGTTGCCTCATACACCCTAAGAAAAGGGTGTTGAATCAAAGTTACGTTTCATTTTATTCTTTTGCTGTAATTAAGCCCCAATTAAAGTTTTTTAAATTAGCTCTGTGTGCCTGAGGTGGAGCATATCTTTGTAGTGTCGAAAGATTTGCTGTGATTTGGTGATGTACAGATAAGCTTTTTGTAACCCCAGGCTTGGGAGCTGGGAGCTAATAATGTAGAGGACTAGACATCGGTGATTCGTCCTGTGCTTTTGCCCTGATCCATGTCCACACTCCCACTGTGTCAGCAGACCTTAGATTGACTCATTTAACTGAAAGTATTCAGTCTTTTACATTCCTTACCATTAACAAAAACTTTACTTATTGCTCTGCTCCTATAAACTGCCAACTTTAGTCACTAACTGCTTCACAAATCTGGATTTCATAGCCTTGATCAAAATAAGAGAAAGGCTAGTTCACCCTTGTGTTCAGTCGAATTGATTTTTTTTTAAAGAGCAAGTAGATGATTATTAACTTCAGTAAAAACATTTTTTTTTAAACCCAAATCTTTCTTTAGAATATATTTTTCTTTTTAATGCAGCTACTAATGTACAAATGCTGCTTTTATTTGTTTTTTTTGTATTCCTTTTGACCAGAAACTGAGTGAACTTTTGCCTGTAGTTACAGTTGCTGCATGTAGGTCACATTCATGCTTCAACTGCTGTAATCCAGTCATCTAAAAAGAAGAATAAAGCTGTTATGACTCAAGGGATTTGGTGTTTACGACGGTACAGTCATAGCACTTTCTGTGAGAAACCACAGAGGGCTGGACGTTCCCTTCTGCTGCCACTTGCACAGGACTTATCCAGCTGAGGCCTGCAGGCTTCACAGCTGCGCCGCATTCCTGAGCGGCCGCGGAAAGCAGGTCTGAACTCTCCTGCTTTCCAGCGACCGGAAAACAAAAAATCGCTAATGAAAGCAAGACTAAAGCAGAAGACTGCTGCTCTGCACGCGCACACGGGAAATTCACATCCCCGCTCCCAGCAGGGGGAGATTTTCTCTATTGTTGTGAAAGATTAACTTGTGTTCAACGGTCAAATGGTGTTTACGGCTTTTACCAACAGTGTGTGTTCTGAGACGACAGCAGATAAAAAGTAGACCTTGTCCTTTGGTACAAGTTTCTAAACCATGACTGAACAAATTGACATTTTCTACGGTTTCCATTTACAGAGAACCATTTTTCTATTCTTCCATTTGAATCCTCCCTCCTAAAGTACTTCATTACCATTGCATGCCTAATATTGTCTTGATTAATCTCATCACCTTATCACATTTCCACCTCTGTGTGAGGGTTTTCAATCTTAACCCAGCAGAAATGCATCTTTCAGAGGAAACACAAAGTTTTTAGCACTTTGAACACTCTTAGAAAACTCTTAATGTGCGGTTTTGTCTCAGGCGGGTGTTGATCATTTCTACATTTTCTGACTGTCCCCAAACACAACCTGTCAGATGGACATATTCTGTTCTCATCACAGAAAAATATCAGCAGCTTAATCATCATATGTGTCACATGTTAAAGGAAAAGTGAACATCTAAGTTCATCTAAGTTTTTGCTTGCTATGCTAACCACGAAACCATTGCAGCCTCTGGCATTAAAGTCAGAACAAAAAAAGAAAAAAGTTCAAACATGCAAATCACGCTGAGCTGTTAGTTCTGTCTCCTCTGTGTAAAAAGTGAAACCAAACCCTCACTTACAGTAAGGGGCTGTTTTTCTGATAAACGCAGCCTCGTCTGACCTGTTGAGCAAACAGCCGGCACCGTCCTGTCGGTAATGTTTCTGAGAAAACACACGGCTTGAAAACCGCAAACTGCTATGACAAGGATTTTTATTGACTTTTTTTTTCTTCATTTTAGCTTTTCAAATATTCAAGTACATGGACTCAAAAATCCAGGACACACAATCAGTGGCAAATACTTTCAAAAATCATCATTTCAATCGTTTTCAATTCACAAATGTCTCCACTTAAACCAGCAAGATTCCCCTTCGGCTAAGACACTTGGACCTTTTGTAAACATGATATAAATCAGTCTTTGATTTTTGATTACAAAAGTAATCTGGTAGAAAAATATCTCTTCTGTCATAGGTTTTTTTCTCTTTTTATGAATATTTACATTAAGTACCTCACAGTATAATCTGATCTGAAAAAGTACATACTGTAAAATGAACACAAAAAGGTCTCAGTGGGGTAAAAGGCCTTTGGTTTTCATGAAAAAATACCAAAAACGACAACAAAAGTAACCACAAAATGTCCAACAGTGATGATTGGATTGGAAATTGTCGGGGCGTCCTGTCTCCTCCACAGGTTTTCGAAGGGTCCATTCGTCATAAAAGTCCAAAGCAAAACAGCTGCGGCTACAATCAGGCGTCACTCCTGAGGACGGCGGAGCCACAGAACCGCCGCTGGAGGAAGGACCCCAACACGATGAGCAGCATCTCCGAGGTGCTGCTGAGGGCCACGATGAAGGGCGCCTGGGAGGCAAAGTCCGCCTCCAGCCGCTGGAAGGACAGCTGCATGACGGCCAGAGCCAGCAGGCTGTTCTGGACGCCCACCTCGATGCTGACCGTCTTCCTCTGCGGCGGGGCCAGGCCCGCCAGCTGGGCCAGGACGGCCCCCACCACCAGGCCCAGCAAAGGCACCGTCACCCCCACCGCCACGATCTGGGGCTCCACGTTGGCCAGGATGGACGCGCCCATTTGGTAGGCCATGAAGATCCCGCCGATCATGAGCACCAGGCTGAAGGGGCGGATGAGCACCAGCAGGACGCGCGTGAGGGCGGGCAGCCGGAGCTTGACCAGCATGCCCAGCGAGATGGGGATGGCGATGAACAGGAGGGTGCCCAGGATCTTCACGAAGGGCACGTGCAGGGCGGCGTGCACGCCCAGCAGCCGGCCGTACAGGGCCGAGGACAGGGGCATGGCCGCGGTGGCCACCACCGTGGACACCAGCGTCATGGAGATGGCCAGGGTGACGTCCCCCCCCAGCAGGAGGCTGTACAGGTAGCCGCCGCCGCCCCCCGGCGCCGAGCAGGTGATGACCAGGCCCAGGGAGAGCGTGGTGGGCAGGGAGGCCAGCCGGGACACGCAGTAGGCGTACAGGGGCATCACCAGGAACTGGCCCAGCACCCCCAGGAGCAGGGGCACGGGCCTCCGCAGCAGCCCCCGCAGCACCTCCACCTCCACCTTGCACCCGAAGGCACACTTGTTGACGAAGATGAGGGGCAGCAAGGCAAAGAGCACGGGGTTCTCAGAGAAGTGAGACAGACCCCCGGACGACTGGACGAGCCGGCCGGCCGGGTCCTCCTCCTGACCGGGCGCCACTTTGATGGAGTAATCCGTCCTCTCCTCGATCAGAACCGGCATGGAGTCCTGGTCCAGGTCCAGCAGCTGGATGTGCAGCTGCGCCCTGCCCGAAAACCCGGAGCGGATGCTGATGGTGTAGCTCCGGGGGTTTGTCCCGCTGTCCGTCACGTTGAGGATGGAGAGGACCTCCGGGTCCAGGGAGCGGACTCTCACCGTCTGCTTCCGGCTCTGGCGGCCCTTCCTGCCGGCCGCGGGGCTCCGGTACCGGCTGGAGATGACGATGACGCCGTCCGTGTTTTCGGGGAACTCAAATTCCTGCGACGATCCGTCCCCGATCCGGATGTACCTGCTGCTGCTGCTGCCGTTGGCCGTCAGGTTGGTCCCGGTGCTGCCGTCCACCGTCAGGTTTCCGCCGGTCCACGCCCGGTCTGCTCCCACGGTGACGAGGACGAGACAACAGATCGGAAATAGCGTCCTCATTGTGTTACCCGACGAAGGGGGGCGGAGGTGCGCAAAGACGCACGCTTCCCCCCCGGTCAGCGGCCTCCCCCGACGGTCACACCGCCGCCCGGACACACCGACCCGCCCAGCTTCTCATTCCGGCCCCCGGTGTGCAAGCTCAGCGTCGGCAGCCGGCTCCTCATCTCGTCTGGTTCCCATTTTCTCGCTGCCTTTATACCGGAACCTAAACATCACCCCGCCCTGTCGAGTCGGAGCGCAGCTCTCCGGCGGCGGCCCCCCCTCCGGGATCGCGCTCCCACAGGTCTCCCCCACCCCTCCCCACCCCCGATGCCTACACGGAGCTAAGATGTCGGCCACGGCGCGCCGCAGCCCGGTCCGTGGTGGTTCAGATCTCCCCGGTTGATAAAAACTGAGAGCATCGTCGCTCCGCTCGTTTATTTGCTGCTGGGAGGCGCTGCCGTGAAGCTGGCGAGGCTCAAACCCCTCTTCCGGCCAGGAGCTGCCAAAATAAACCCCCAGAAGCTGTTAATTTAATGTTGTTATTTAATAGCTGTTATTTAATTTGTATTTCAATTCCTACAACTTATATAGAAATATACATACAGAATCAGAATCAGAATCAGAATCAGAAATACTTTAATAATCCCAGAAGGAAATACAAGCCCACATTTAGTCTGCTGTTCTTCACTTACAATATGTTGCTGCTTTTTCAGGCCTTAGCCGCAGATCTTAGGCCTATAGAGGGATCAACAGAAAATACATGCATTTAAAACACTTCATCCATAAAAAGATGTGAGATACATAAAGATGTGAGATGCAAAGAAAACTGACTTCATCTAAAAATCTTATCTAAAAATGATTATTTGTGTTTAGTATTGTCATTATCATTCGGTACTGTCTCAATATGTTATCTTCAAAACTTCGATGTAAACAGCACTTTCAGAGCCATCTGACCACAGACGATCTTAATCCTATACTTGATTGTGTTTCTCATGCTGAAGGGGCCACAAAGATTAAGCAAAAGCCCACTAAAACATCAAGTGGCTTTAAGGCAATATGGCATGTTGTTTTAAAGTCTCTGTAAAAGTAACAACCAAAGTTGTAAACTATGGTATCAATGTTGGGCCCCTGGGGCTCCAGAACAGCTTCAGTAAATTCAGGATCAGGCACAACAAAGGGCAAGCCATCACACTGAGTTACACTGTGTGAAAGTACACTGACCGAGTATCATCATCAGTTAAAAAAAGTTAGAAAAGTTAAATAAATTCCATTTATCATTTCATATTTGCGTACTTTTCTGTGCCATTTAGACTAAAACCATAAAAAAAAGTAATTTACTTTACATACTTTACATTTAAATTGAATTATTTATTATTTGCATTTATTTTGTAAAGAAAAATGGCAGTACTTCCTGGTTTTCACTGAGTAACCATCGACAACTTGACGCAGCCCCTCGCTAATCCAATCGGAGCGGCCCATAGAGTCAGCTCTCCCCGTCAGACATGAGCAGGGGCGGTCACATGGCTGAGGGAACACCGTGACTCGTATCCACTTGGGGGGCAGACAGGGATTGCCCACTACACATAAACACAGAAGGGCACGATTTGATCTGCAAGGGAAAATCTAAATAATCTAAAAACATAATGATTTTAACAGAAAAAATAACAGATGATTAACAATGTCCATATCCAGTTAATCTAATAAATGCATCTAAAATATTTAAAATGAAGAGTTTGTGTCTTTACATGAGGAGAAAGAAGAAGATTCTTGATTGAAATTAGTCTTAGACCACTCGCATGGTCGTCCACTCTGAAACCAGTCTGTTTTCTTTCTTCATTCCTTTATTAATCTTAAGAGATTCCTCTTCTGGCCTTGTAAATTTTCACAAAAACACAAGAAAAACTTCACACATGTGATTCTAAACAACCAGAGAGGTGAAATCACAAGGATTAACCAAACATTGTAAAATGACACGGGGGCCCACAGTGAGAAACACCTGTATCAAATAGAAGTAACAGTGGGTCGGGACACGAAACCAAAAAACAAATGCTGAGAAACACCAAAGGTCGGGCTCGCACAGCCTCCGAAATGAGGAACAAAAAACACCCTGACACAAAACAAACAAAAGGAAACCAGGACGGACAGGAAGGCTTGATGTGTATATATAAAAACAAGGACAAGGAAAAGGGAGGGAGAATGTGAAACCATTAAAACTAACAATGCAACAACTAGACTTTTCACAGGCTTGGCACTTTCTCGAGTAATTCAAAACCTGTTTCTCTGTTAAACTAAGCACAGAATTTGATCCATTGATATTTCAGTCTTAAACAGTTTTCTTAACAAAGTGCCCCCAGGTCAAAGTCTCTCTCTCCATTCTGCTTGTAATTGATGTTTGTAGTGTTGTGAATTGTGTCTCTGCTCCTCATCGCCCACTTTGTTCACAGTGTCACTCTCAGTTTATGTTTCCTGACCTTAAATCCCAGGAGAGTCTCATGACACGAATCCGTTTTGTTCAACAGGCCTCGGAAACGGTTTCCTGTTACAAACATACAGGCAAGTTGTACACAAACAGGGGACTCAACAAGGAAATCTGACACTCATCCGAGCGCTGCAGGATTGAGGGGAAACTCCGTCCTGTCAGCGTTGCCTTTTTATAGTAGCCGGCCCCTGCTGGGAGTCACTCTCATATTTAAAAGCCATTTTTATTTCATAACGCTCAGCTTTGTTCCCCAGTGGTGGGTGAGTGAGGTCAGAGCAGGATTATCCCGCTCGCCGTGGTAAAAGCACTTCTGGGACGGCGTGTTCGTCATCTATTGTGTTTTCATGAGTTGTGTGTCCTCCTTCTGTCAGCACGGCTAAGTCAAGGCTTCCAGAAAAAGAAAAGGCGGGGGAGTCCTCAGTGGAAACACTCAGCGCACGCCAAGACAACCTGCTGGTTGTGTGCGCTCCGGCCTCCTCTCTGACATTTCAGAGAGCGACAGCCTATTTGCTGTGGAGCCGGCAGGCACGCACATTTCCTGCCTGGCATTTGTGCTGCTCCTCTCTACGGGCTGCCTCATTATTTACCCATGGTATGATAACGTACCTCATGACTTATTTCACAAACCGGACGAGGCAGTTAGGGAAACAGGAGGCGTACAAAAAAAAAAAGAAAAGTGGCTCTCCTCTCCTCTTTTAGGATGAAATTGGAATATTTTTTGTAGTTTGTGATGCAGTTTCATCTATTTACTCAGAGAACACGGATGCCTGCATTTGCACGGCTTGAATATTCATAAACCAGATGTTATGATCTGCCTTGTGTTGCAAATGAGATCATCAGCAGCCATGATGACTAAACCAAAAGCTCTGTCCTGAAATTAGCACAGGGTTACACAACAGCTATCCTCCTGACAGCAGTAAACAGCCAGGATTTTATAAATACTGCGCACAGATGGAACTGGAGCTCTACAGCCTTATTTCTGCTGCATCCAGGGTAACTAGTCCAACTATAACTGTACATCAGGGAAAAACTAGAAACTGAGTGGACTAAAGCTTTTAGCATCTTATTTAAAAAGGAACTTTAATTTATCACATGAGCCTAATATGCATCTAATGTAGGTGTGAACTAACAAGTATCTTTTGGCTAAGCATTTTGTTGTAATGAGTCATAGTTTAAATTTTTTTACTCTCAACATGTTCGATGAGGTAGATGAAGTTCAGGAACCAAAATGAAGCATTACTTAAGAAACCATTCCACCACATGGTGGTTCGATCTTTATTTAACAATCCAGTCTCAATGTGTTTTGTTTAATAAACTGTACAAAGATTAAATTTCTCTGTAAATTAAAACATAAGAGGAAATACAGTCAATGATATTTGATAACTTTAGTCATTCCCTTACAACACCCAAACCTCTAAACAACAGATTGAGGCTGGTTAAAAATTCAAGACTAAATGAACTGAGTAAAGAGGTTAAAATCATTCTGTTAAAACTCTCAACATTAAGATATTCAGCAACTTTTATTGAAATCATATTAGTTAAAGATGACATTTCACTAAAAGCCCAGTTTACTTTCACTGAAGTGATTTGAAGAATTTTTACTGATAATGAAATATTTAATTTAGTTTAATCTTTCCTGTGATTAATATATTGCCCTGCAGGTTTCAAATGAAATGTTGTGCTTGGAAGTTCATTTCTATGTCATTGAGCCATGAAAAGGGAAGTATATGCATGTCTCCATTATAGTGCTTAAATGCAAATTTGAGGTTTTTGTTACCTTTATTTAGTTCTGATGGGTTATCATTTCTGTTTACTCAGTTCAAATCCAACAGATGGTGAATATCTGTATCAAATATTTTCTCTACAGGTCCAGAGATGTATAGTAATATAATATTTTCATGACATCTAATAAAAATGATTTAATGCAATGAACCATTAAGTAAACAGGAAGTGTTTGGGGCTCAATGTGCAAATACATTCAGCCTCAGTGGGAAACAGATGAAGTTCTTCGAAATAGTTCCTGTTTTCTAGGGAAGGTTCTTGCAAAGCACATCTAGTTTTCATGATTGTGGTACCATCTACAAATGCCTGCAGTGGCTGAACTCGTCCTACTGGGTGTAATCTCTCCTCATTCGACAGAAATGAAAGACAGCGTTTCTGAGGGTACAACTTTCTTTATTTTCATAAGATAAATATACAAAACAAAAGTGCTGAAGAATCTGTAGAACTTGAGTAAAAATAAACCCTCCCTGTGTTACAGTGGATGACAAAATGAAAACTGTCTCCAAAGGGTGAAGCTTCCTGGTTACAGGTGGAGATCTTGCCTCCCCTCCCCTCCCCCTCCCATCTTGACCGCCCCCCTACTCTCACTGACCTCTACAGACAAATCAGGAAACACCGAAACCCATCAAAGCAAAGCACCTAACAGGCGACTCGACCGTTGCCTCCAACACAGTCCTTGAGTGCCATCTGCACAAAGCCCCCTAGATCTTGTTTGAGGGCGACTCTGAAACTGTTCAGAAACGGTGAGAAGGGCTTCCAAAAATATCTGAATGTGGTTTCAGGATGGCTTAAATTAAAACACCCACAACCGCAAAAGTGATCGCGTTGCAGATCCAAAGTCGATAAGCATCCACCTTTGATGGCTAACAGAAACCAGAACTCACCATCTCAACTATTGTCCTTCAGGCACTGGCGGAAGAAGCACCTATACAAGCGACTGCATCCCGAATAAGGCGTTCAAAGCATAAAACTGGAATACGAGCATGAAAAAGCATCTAAGACAAATCTGACAAACAAAAAACAGGAAGCAAACGTCACCCACAGAGAAACAAAGGGACTGTCCTCTGTTTATAGCTGTTAAAAAAAGGCTCAGATGAATCTGATCAAGAAAGGAGAGTTAGTGTTTTTGTCTATTTTAAACAGATATGGATTTCAGAGTGACATCGTGTCTCCTTTCTCCAGCAAGATCATCCAACCGAATGGTTTCTGACTGGAAACAAAACAATGACAACCCATCCAGACCCACAGCCAGAGACGTCCAACTCCCCTGTTACCACCGAGACAGCTCATTAAAACTGACTTTCATTATTTGTTTGTTTTTATACATCCTAAAATCCCAGTGGTTGCAGAGAAGGGATGAAAAAGGACAGAAAAACTAAACCCAGAGGAAAACGAAGACTGACTTAAACAGGAAGGTTTAACCAGAGAGACAATCGTACCCTCTCAGGTGATTTTTCTAATTGATGAGTGATTGTGTATTTATTTACAGGGCAGTGGGGGATGATATTCGAGGGGTTTATGAAGTCCTCCCAGAAGGAGCAGTTCGTTAGAAACACACAGATCCCGTTTCCATCCTCCTCCATCCAGCTCTCCCTCTGTCGACTCTCTTGCAGCAGCGTTCAGTTTCGCAGAGCTGCCAACCTGTTGGAGGAATACAGGAAACTTTACCAGCTGTGGGAGATAATCAGAATCAGAATCAGAATCAGAAATATGATTCTGATTCTGATTCTGACGGCAGCATTACGCAGAGCACGGCCCTGAATGAGCTGTCCTTCTGTTTCACTGCGAACTGAGCACGGCTGCCACTCAGTTATTTCAGGGGGGTTTTGTCATAAGAAATATCACATAAAATATGAATAAATACAATATTATGGTAATGGTGAAATATCTGTGTGCATCTTTTTACTAGAACTAAAACAAAAAAAATTCTGAGATTTTTCATTTATTTAAACAGATTTTTTCTAAGCAAGTGTTTCTGACAAATATTGTAATGGTTTGAATTATTGTAGATAGTACAATTAGAAAAATTATAGAGTCTGCTGGTCATGTTGTTTTCTTTGGGGTTGTTTTTCTTACTAGTTTATCTTTTTTATCTTTTTTACTTTTATCTACTGGTAAATGAAGTTTTACCCTTTACTTGTAACCTTCACTTCACTGATTTCACCAGGTTTACAGCAGCATGCAGACATATTTCTTTTGAGTCCAGTTTTTTATGTGATGAAGGACTAAATGATTGGCTCAGCTCCACATTCTAAACCAGTTGAAATATCAGAAGGATCCGGACACAGTTCATTTGACTATTGAGAGTCTTATCTCTCTCCAGCGCCATTTCTTCCTTTTGCTTTGAGTCTCATTCTTTGAGCTGAACACAGTCCATCATCATCCCTGTTCGTTTATGGCTTTGCAACCACAGCAGCTGTGAGTGGGAGCAGGAGACCGCAAAGCAATCTAATTTCCTGATCTCATGCTCTGTCCTAACAGCAGAGCTGCCTCTGCATGTGCTGCTTGTTAGCCTTCTGGCAAAGCCTTATTATCCCTAAAAAAAAAAAAAGAAGTATACTGCCAGATAGATGAGACCTAAATATGCAGGCATTACTTTGAACTAGATTACATCCATATCTACTTATAAAACAACAGGGAGGATATGGGTTCGATGCTTTAGTTTATTTTAACAGTTTTATTTGCCTTTATGGAAAATAATTATTTGGTATTCAAAAGTCTTTTTTTCTTCCCTGTCTGGGAATTTGCATGCATGTGTTATGTGACTGGTTCCTGTCGTATGGTACAAAGAGCCCATATGGTGCTGCCAGCATGCAGGAGAAACTTTTTTTTTTTAATACAGCGTGTCTATCTGCAGCTTTTGTCAAGCAGGTGGAGTTTTTCACCTTTAGCTGTGAAAGTAAGTGATGATGTGTTTGGACAGGAAAGTCTTCCTATGTGGTATGCTTGCAATTACCTGCACCATATGCATATTTCAGGGGAAGAACAGATAATTTGACTTGGAAAAGGAGAGATTAAAAAAAATACCTGGAAGAGATTCAATCTCAATGCCACTAAAAAGAGCTTTTGATGATGGATGACTTAATAACAGAGCCTGATGTGCTCCCTACATTCATATTTCTACAGAGCTGATCTTGGTTCTTAGACTGGGAACATAAATAGTTTTCCAGCTTAAGTCATGAAGGACGGTAACAAGTTTAGGCCTCCTCATTTATGTAGTTTCTCATAGATTGCTGCTTATTTTAGTCTTTGCTCACCCTGAAGTTTAATTGTAATTCATTTAATCTAAAATACAGAAGTTCTTATGAGTGGGACTTTATGCTTTATAAAAGAAATGTACTCTATTTTCGCTGCAATGGGCCATTTAATTAATCCTTTTATGCTTTACCTTAAACATGAAACAATACTGAAACTCTCTCTGCTGCTGTACTTTTATTGTTTAATATTTTGCTGCTTGTTCCAAAAGCGCAAAAAGCATCCAAAGGGGTTCAGGTCGTTTAAAATCAAGATATACTGGCAGATTTTCCGGTAAGGCGCATATTCTCAGAGATGTCTGCGGCCCATTCTCTGATTAGATTATGGAAAAAAAGTGGTCTCTTTGTGACACACATTGCTGGAGTTTAAATAAACAAGGAACCAAAAATCTGCCCCCATCTAAACATCTGAACGTTTTTAGATCAGCACTATGGTAGCTGTGCTAGTCTGCTTAAGCATTAAGGCGCTAATAATGGAGGTACAAGACAGCTTTTTTTAAAGTTTGATTCACAAATCCGTAAGATTAGAAAATAAGTAATCGGGTATATTTTCATTTTTGCTCTAACCGCACACAGGGTACATCTAAGAGATGGGTCCTTACCGTCGAGACAGCTGGTCCTCCTTGTCCTGGCTCCGTGAACTCTCTGCTCCGATGGAAGTAGCTCCGGCAGGCAGCTGGCTGAGCTGGTCCATCACCTCCAGGCCGCTTTCGTCTGCTATTTGGTGGATCAGGTCATCTACCTGCTCCTGAGGCGTGGTGAGAGTCATCGCGGAGCTCATGGAGTCTTCCATCACCTGGTGCAGGAAGAAGAGCAGAAAGAACAGAAAAGTCAACATACAGAGAGTCGAACCAGGTTGGAGTTACATCCAGAGTGGAGTTTATCCAAAGAAACATAATGAAAATGGAGGGATGAGCGAGCAGCCACTCACTGAGGTGTGGACGTCAAGGTTCTGGACTTGGGTCTCAAACTTATCCATGACTGCAGAGACCTTCTGGAGGTCCATCGAGTTCAGAGCTTTGTCCAGGGCTTTGGTCACCTGGCCCATGCTTTTAGTCACCTAATGGAAGAATAGAGATGGACTTCAAATAAACTGATCTCATACAGATGGGCAAGAATCCAATATCATTTAATATCCTGAAAACAGCAGATTCAGAGTAAAAATGGATCATCCTGCATCTCATGAGTTTGTAACTTACTCCCTTCATGGTGACGGCGGTTTGGACTTTAGATGCCACGGCATCAACGCGAGACGCCATGCGCAGCCAATTCAGGCCTTCGTTTTTTTTCCGGATGGCATTTTCTGCATAGACCCGAGCACACTCCACATTCTTCTGCTGCAGAGCCTGTCAAATGGACAAAATATAACCAGAAAACGTCAAAGTCTGAACACTTTTGGTGTCTTTTTATTTATTATTAAACAAAAACGAACATAGGAATTAATTCTCCTCAGAATCAATTTATGATAATGTGATAATAATTTCATTCTTGCTTCAGATGTACTTTTCTCCAGAGATATTAAAAGACTTTGATGTAATGAAAATAAAAGTTGTGTGATCAAATATTTTTGCGGTTTTAGCCAGTGGAAACTTTCTTACAAATGCGAAATAATTGTGAAATGTATTTTCGCACATCTACGTTATCTCATTTAAAAAAACATAAGAGCTCTGTCAAAAAGAATATTAGAAATTCAGTATCGTGACTCAACAGGAAAATATAAGTCTAATAGGTAAGATAACTACCCCTCCATCCTGTCAAAAGCTCATTTTTCCATAATGAGTCTGAGTCATGAAGGCTGCCTAATGACTCCACTGCACTTAAAATAATTTGCAATGAAGGAGATAATAATCCATCAATTTCCACGACTTGGGTTGCACTGCCCCCTTCTGGCTAATATGTGCCACTTTGTTTCATATAACCTGTCGTACACTGCAGAATTTAGTAATGAAAAATTAATTACAGAACTCTAATTCAGCAAAAGGCTGCAAACAAAAACACTAGAATTAGTTTTGTCTTCCCTTAAAAATTATACAGTGAGCATTACCCTTGGATCTAATGACAGATTTAGGTACACCTGCTTCATATTTGAGAAACTAGTAACCAGATCATAAATAGGCAGGAATATAGGGAGGGTCCAAACAAAATGCTCGGCAAAGATTTTGTTATTTCATCAATGCAGCTCTTGTGGTAATTTGTGCCCGCTGTTCATTGTACCATCTCATCGGGCGAGACAAGAAATCAATGCAGAGATTACACTTAAAAGGTTTGCTGGCAGCCGGTGAAAGAAAAAAACAAAAAAACGAGCTCTACACAGGATTCATGAACAACCACTAATGAGAAAAGGATTGATGTGTACTCATCAAACAACCCTACCAGGACTCGTCGTCAGGCTCTGTGCAACAGCCACACAAATCACAGACAATCTTATTATACATAATCTGTTTAAGGAAAAAGCATACAAAGAATGGAGATACCAACTATCTGTAGCTCTGCTTTTGCTTTGACTTGAACTGTAGACTGTCATGGCTGTACTGTACATACCACCCAATAGCTGTACAAAGAGAAGAAGAGTCCATGTATGTGTGGATGGTAAAAGACTGGATGTTTTCCATTGTTTACAGAAGTTAAAGGTACTAATGAAGCTAGAATGGAGCCAATCAGACAGCTTTAAACACGACATTTAAATGACTGAGTCGGCTGCTGACGGCTGTTGAAGTCAGCTGTTGACTCGCTCGACTTATGAACATTGTGACTGTGTCATAGAGGTGACACATAAGTAGGGGAGAGAGAAGATACAGGACAACAGTGTTATGAGACAGTCTACTCACTATTGTGGGCATGCAACACAGACCTAAGATTGCCTTACCTTCTTGACCTTTGCCTGCTCCTTTTCAGACTCTTTCTCAGCTTTCTTAGCCAGTCTCTCTAGCTGTTTGGACGTGAACTGTTTCCAGGGGAAAATATATATAAAATCAGTTAGCAACTAGCTCATATTTGTAAAGCTGGGATCAATTAGATTGGTACATAGATAATTGTATTATTATTAATATATAAATGTAACATCTTCTGTAATGGAACATACCTTTAGCTGAAAGAGTGTTTCTGTGAAAAGAGAGAACCAGCTTTAGATAAGTGGAGTTTTGATCATATAAACAGTAGATCACCATAATGAATCATTGAATCACTAAAAACGCATCAATGTACGCATCAAACGCATCAAAAGCGCTTTTCCAGACTTTTTGAATGCTAAAAATAACATTAATACACTCGTTGCTGAAAATCATTTTGAACAACGAGAACTGATGTACCTGTAACCATTATATATTTTATGATATTATGTCTTATTTGGGCCACGTTCCTATATGATAAACTTAAAGGATATACAGTACATTATCATCAACAGCCCCAAAACAGATATTGTTTAAACTGACTGTTACATTAGAACATGTATTTTGTTAAAAGGCATTCCATAAACCATAAAATCAATATGTTTCAAGAACAGAAAAGAGAAATTCCTCAGATTCCTTGACGGTAAATATCTTAAAACCGTAAACAAAACTGAAATTCCATATTCTAGAAAATATAATTTGTGAAATCTCTTACCAAAACAAATAACATATAGAAACATTTTTTATAAATAAATATATCAAAATTTATTCGGTGCTAAAAGTCAACAGTATTCGTGAAGGAAAATGTGTCAGCGAGAAACTTCAGGAAGTGTCAGGGCTCAAATTCTGAATGAAGGGCTACATTCCTTCAGAGTCATTTGCCAAGAATAGAATACGGATCTGATACCATTAAGAAAAGACAGCTAACCAAAGAAAAGGACCACTTCATAATATACTGTCTAGCTACAGCAGATGATATTAAAAAAAGCAGCTCAATAACCACAGGTGGTCTAAAAGCTAAAAGCTAACCGCTGGGCTGGGCTCCCACCCAAGCTAATATGCTAACATTAGCTATGAGGCATTAGACTACCAATGTAGTAAAAAATTAAAGATAAAATTCCTCTAAATGAATAGTTAATGTGTTAATACACGACATACCATCCATGATGTCACGAGTATGGAAGCAGACAATCACAAAAAATGTGTTTTTCGGCTGTCCAACTAGATGGTCTTGGTTTGTTTTGGTCAAACCGTGTATTTTCCTGGTTCAACGGTTATCACGTGACCAGAAGCTGCCGTCTTCCTTCTTCTTCGACTCCAATTTGGTGCCTCTACCGCCCCCTACAGCATCGTGTCAAACAAACACTACATTGGAAAGATAAGTCAGCTTCACTGAAATTTGGGAATTAAGTCAAATGTTGTATAAAGAAAAATACAACTAATAGCAAAATTGTCTCTTTAGAACATTAATTTACAAATATACTAAAATAAGTTATACCATTTACTGATAATAGAATTGTTACTATGTAATAATAACAAAATAAAAGAATGTCTATTTATGTTTTGATTTGAAAGTGACCAAGGGCAACTGTGCTTGGCGCGGGCAGCACAATCAACCCTGTTAGCTCACAACCTAAAGCTGAACCTTTTGTGTGTCTGCCGACATCAAAGATATGTCAGCTTTTGTCCATTTTTTATGCGGTGGGGAAAAGGTGAAAAAGACGGACAACGAGCAGGAGGAGATCGGTGAGAAGTTCCCTGAGATCGAAGAGTTGCTGATTAAAAAGACAGCATTTTTAAAGAAAAAGGTTGAGCAGGAACTTTTGACCGCTCAGAAAAACCGCAGAAAAAACAGAAGAGGTGAGATTATTTCTACACAACTATATTTATTCATTTAGATTTAAAACGTCGACGTCTCAGTCACATAAAAATGGCGTCTAACTGCGGACCATACGTTCGCTAGTTACCGAGCTAATATCCACTTAAGCTAACAGACTCCTCTACATTAACTAAAACAGGAACTAAAATCTAATTAATTGTTACTGTAAGTTCTAAGTATAGTGTCAAACTAAGTTAAAAGTAGTACGTAATAACTGAACAATGAGAAAATTGTAATTAATGGTTGAAATGAACATTTTTTACTTTGGTACTACCTGGCAAAGTGATATGAGTTCAAACTTCAAATAATTAATTCAGCCTTTTTAATTGTCTTCAAATGAAACGTATAAGCAAGGGCCATATTAGAACATTATGACTTGTTTATCATCTCTTTAAAAAAATCTTCTGGAGTTAGAGCTGGTAAAACGAGATAAAAAAATATCAAGGATCATAAAAAACCTTAAAGAAGCCTGTCCAGTTTGGACTCTTGTAGAAGGTGTTGACCAATAAGCTACATTCAGATTTTTTTTTTTTTAAATAGACAAAAGGGGAGATGGTGTAAGGGTAGCATAAAGGTATGCCAAGGAGGACATCGGACCAGTGAAAAAAGGAAACCGATTGGTAATAAATATTAATTGTGTTTTTGAAGGAAATAGGATTTTCATCTGGAGAAGCCAAACATATAATGAAAACCGTCACAAACATGGAAGAATCATAGACCATTAATCCATCCATCCATTATCAATACCGCTTATTCCCTCATGGGGTCACGGGGGGAACTGGAGCCTATCCCAGTGGTCAACGGGCGAGAGGCAGGGTACACCCTGGACAGTCCGCCAGTCCATCGCAGATAGACCATTAATGATTGGATGAAAGATGGACGAGATGACCTTGCACAAACTTCTGTTGGGGCCAATTCAAAACAAGAAACGCGGCCACTAAGTGCTAAATGTCATTGCTATGTTTCGATTAGGTGAAAAATGACCACAATTTTTAAAAAAGAGAAAGAAGATGGAGGGATGGGTTTTCGCACTAGATTCCCACTAATAATCTGTAGGGTGAACAAATAGGAGAACTGAGGTACCTTATTAAAACAACATCACAAAAACAGAAAAAAGCTACAACAAACGTTATCTGTCTCTAGGCGATGTATGAAAATACTAAGACAACAATATTTACGGTCGTCACTATGATTACAGTTAAGGAAAAGCTATATTCTCACTTCTGTTTCTGGACTTTGTGCAGTGGCTCTGCAGGCGCTGAAAAGAAAGAAGTGGTGTGAGAAACATCTGAAGCACATCGACTGTGCGTTGAAAGCCATGAGATCTGCTCACGAACACATGTAAGAATAAAAAAGTACCATTCCACCATGTGATTTGGATCAGCAGCCTCTATGAATGAGCGAGGTTCCACTCACAGATGCTGTGTTCAGATGATGGCTTAAGAGTTTAGTTTGTTTTCTAAAGAATCGTCTGATCACCATCAGAACCTTTTGCTGCCCGTTGCAGTGAAACCTTCAACAAAGTGAATGACCTGATTAAGGACATCCCAAGAGAAGAGGAGGTAACGCCAGAGTATTCGGACAACCTCTTCTCATCTATAAACCAGGATGTGGAATTCGACGAGGTATCTACAAAGTGACCCTGGGGTTTTTACTTGTGGGGGATTCTGGGGGTCTGAAGGGGAAAAAAGTCAGTGAACAACTTTGATTGAAACAATCGTTGTTTTGTGGGCCTATTTTTACCTTCTGTTTGCAGCTTCTAATAAGAAGGTGTTTGTTTTTCCACAAAGGGAGGTCAGTGATTTTCTGAAGATTTGAAAAATGAGGGAACAGCCCCTTATAGGCTTTTTCCCTTAGTTTAGAAAATAATCACCAAAGTGTGAAACTTTCCCAAAACTATTCATGTGACGGCAGGATGAAGGATTTAGTGATATATGAGTGCAAATTCCCTCTATTTTGTAGATTCGAGCTACTCTTATATACGCTCATTCCCTTGTAATGATTCTTTGTATGTGGTAGTTATTACTTTAGAAAAAATTGCCTCCAGTAGAGCCCTTCATATCTCTGGTGAACTGGCTCACAGCTTGGATCTGGGTGATGTTACTGGTTGATTGCTGTGTTTCCGGCAGGATGAGCTGCTGGCAGAGCTGGAGCGGCTGGAGGAGAGCCTGGACCAGAGCCCTCCGGAGGCAGACCAAACAGACGGCGGGCTCCATTGTTTCTCCTCGTCCTCTGCATCTCCCTCCCATCCCGGTAACGAGCATATTTAGGCTCCTCTAGGCTGCTGGGTTGAGTTTATGGGGAGTTACCCTACCTGTGGACTCACAAATCAATCACCATGTGTTCTTTTCTCTCCCCCTGAAAGCTGAGGATGAGGAAGAGGATGTTAAAAAAGACCTGGACTATCTTCTGCGTTGGGCAAACGAGTCCTCGTGAAAATCCGATGAGATCTGGGGATGCGTGAGCTCAGGGAATAAACAGGCAGCACTGACATGTTATTGTTCGCAGTGTTTTACTTTCATAGGATAGCGACCATGACACATGGTGTCGAGTTCTTTAGTTCTGCTCTAAGTTAAAGAGCTCTGTGACACAGCGCCATCGCTGTAACATTAGCGCTTCGTCATGAATTTATCTACGCGCACCGGCTTTCTGTGAGTGTTTCAGTCCAGACGCATGTGTTTGAATCAGCGGGAGGTCTCTGCCTCGGCCTGTTCGGGTTTCGGTTCGGCGTTGACCCTCCTCCTGTTAGCCGTTCGGTTTTGTTTGACGCTGTTTGCTGCAGAAATAAAAGCCATGAACTTTGACTGATTTGAATTCTTAAGATTTTATTATTCAGTCTTTATTCTGTACTTTTACAACAATTCAACCCCATTTCTCAAAGGTTGAGATACAGTTTCAAATAAAAGCAGAATACAGCGATATCGTGTTTCTTGATGTTTAATTTTTTATTCCAATGGCACATGAAATACATGCTCACTCAGGTGTTGGCCTTCAGCTTTAAATGTTAACAAACTAAATGTTCCTCCGACTTTCAGTCTGCTGGACTCAAGTGTTTAAAGAGGGGATATCTGATCTGAATTAAACAGATCTGAGGACAGATTTTAGTTTTCTCTGCACCCGTCTTTCAAAAAGCTCCAGTCCAAAGTTTGATACTATAATGTCTCTCCTTGGATTATTGAAATACACAAAGACACTCAATGAGAGTTATATATCTTCTTTGGTAATACATTTGCTAGGAACCTTTTTGAAGGAGCTCCCCAAATCGTAGTTCAGAGTTCAGTAACCTGCTGAAACAAATGGAGGAGCAATTTTATGTTTTATGTTGTCTGATTTTTGCTCAAATAATCCAGTTTGTCTCATTTTTATTTGTCAAGAAATCAAAGAGGATATATTTAGTGGTTTTATTTGATACATTTACATATTTATATGTATATAATATAGATACATTGTTTGTTTTTTACTCTCAGAAAAGATTTGCCCTTTAAGTCCAGGATCTCTTACCATGGCTGTAAGCAACTACGCAGGATTAGTGTCCCAGACAGAGGGAGTGGCGGAGCGGGGAGGAGGAGGAGGAGGAGGAGGAGGAGGACTGGCCTGCACACAGACGCCGAGGGTGCTTTGGTGTGGACTCACCAAAATGTGAGCATCACATTTGTGGACATGTGTGAAGTGCGTGACGGCTGACTGAAGTCCCAATGGGGTCAGGAGCCAGCCAGAGGGAAGATTCAGGTAGGCACGAGCTACACTGTTCATCCACCTTGTGATTGAGGCGTTTACATTAAACCCTGGAGGGTGTGAGGCACCCCATGTTTGTCCAGAACCCCTCCGGTGGTTTTTTACCACCCACAGAAGTGTCGAAAAGCTGAGGTCCAAGTGGCGACGGCCTCCTCGTTAGAAGCACGGCGGCTTTTTGTGCGAGAGATGGTGGGAACTTTACTCCTGACTGCCTGGAAACAGTTTAAACCAATGAGATGCGGGCCTTTCTGGGTTTTACTGAACTGAAAGAACACAAAGAGCCTCAGAGTGGTTAATGGTCATTAAGTGTAATCATTGTGTCTCGGCGTAGCTCTCATGATGTGGACACAGACCTAACACCATTAGGAAATTAGCACAATCCAATTTGAGAGGGCTCGCTGCTCTTTGTGTCGGACAACCGCTGTGGCCACACGTCTTAACACACACACAGACACACACACTCACTGCTGGAAATCCCTGACTCAGCAGGCCCAGTGCAGACCACCTGACCGTGTCCGACAGCAAAAGGCAAAACTGGCTTTGAGTTTTGCGCCCTTTAGGACAGCTCACACTCTTATTCTCAATTTAAAGATATTGTTGTGGACACATTTGTAATAACACAACATGACGTCATAACTTTAACCCCAGAAAAAGACCTCCGTCGAAGTGTTTGTGTTGGATTCAGTTTAATAGAAATAAATAATAATAAAAAGAGCAAAAATAGTTCAAGTCTGACTGATTGATGAGAGGATTCATTTATTTGGTGAAACTACAGAAAAAGTTAAATATTCTTTGCCACCAAAAGTTCTGGAAAGAGACTTTAGTAATAAAAGCAGCCTGTAACCGCGGTTCTGTTTGCTCTTTCCCGTTGTCTTCTGTCCAGTATTGAAACATTTTGTTGATATATTTTGATAACTGTGTGATTCCTGAAGATAACATTCAGGTTTGCTAATAAATCATAATAACTGTAGGCATTTGTGGACCGTCTTAATGGATGATGAATGCAACCATTCAAACAGTTAGTGTTATTCATTTATGACTAAAAACTAGTTCTCAAACAGCAAATACACTTAATTCAACCCAACATTTCAGTCTGTTTTCTGCTTCTTATTATCCGGGCCAGGACTGGTACAGAAGGTAACTCATTGTCTCCTCTTAGTTTCGGAGAGCCCCCTCTCATCTCCGCCCAGCACTGAGATAGAGGCCCAGTCCTCTGATCGGCCGCCCATCATCATCGTCACAGCTCCATCACGAGACAACATCTACGCCACGCCGTCCACCATCACCATAGCTGAGGCCATGAAGGAGCAGAGGCCCGGCTCTGCCCCCTTTGTTGTGGGCAAGAAGATCGTAAACAGGCGGTAGCCCCGACACCCGCCACACGGAAACGTAAGAGGAGAGAAAGATGACATTTTGGTGGCAGTTTGTGGTGATTTTCTAGACGTCCTGTGCAAACATAAGAGCACTCTGAGGAAATGGATCACTTTTTCCAAACCAATAGAAATCTGAAGCTTTTTAAGGCATTCAGGAAAAGACGGGTCTGAAGCAGACAAACTACTCTTGGATTTAACTGTTACTTCTAAAGCAATTTAATCCCTCCGGTGTCTGATTTTATATAAGTTTGGACTAATCAAACTATACGTGCAATGTGACTAATATATTTATGTTAGATTCTTTTTTGGTTTGTGTTGAAGAGGAAAGAAACCAGAAATTGTGAACATGAGGTTAGAAAGTAATATGAATAAGTTAGAAATATTTGCTCTGCTTTCACTTAACAATCAGCACCAGAAAATTCCATTAAAAATGTTCCTCAACTCTTGGTTACTAACTCTTAAGACTTTGTTCCTACCTACTACTCATATTATTATCATTGTTTACCAACTGGAAAACAAGGCGTTTGAGTGTGCTGTCCCCTTCCAATCCAATTGCAAAAAGTCTACTTTTTTACTAATTGATACGTTTTTTTATGTTTTAAATTTTTTATTAATCGATTTAAAGCATGTAAGGTTATTTTTTTATTTCAGTTTGCCAGAGTGACTTCGTATACATTTTAAAAGTACACTTATGTGCACAACAGTTGGAGGAAAGGATGCTTCAAACTCCGTGAAAGGTTTTTGTTGTCCTGTTGATCGCTCCAAAACAAACCAAAATGGCGCCTGGACAGTGAAAGGCTAAAAACAGACGAATTCTGTTCTCTTGTGTGCCATAAACCATTCAGATCTCTTTTTGAAAATGGATAACGTCGGGGATGACGAACTGGACACCATAAAGCTGAAATCCATCAAGGACAATAAAACATTCACAGTGCCTCAAAATGACAGGGTAAGTGAATGAGCCCGGAATGGAACGCGAAAATCCCTTCCTAGTTTTGGTATTTTAATAGTTAATGTTTAATTTTCCAGAGTCCATACCGTCCATCTCAATACTTATTCGTTCTTTATATAAATGAATAACTGCTTTGAAAATCGGCCCAGTTTAAATATGCTCTTCAGCGAAAAGAACAGGTCCCCGCATGATAAAGCTACCTAATGCACCTCATCCAGAGACACCACGATGACCCTCTCACAGGGCATCCCATTTATTCAAGCGTCATGAGCCATTAGACCTGTCAAAAGTATTTTTTTCCCACTGAGGTAATGGCAAATACCTTACCAAGCCAGTTCTTATTTATGGCTCTCACGTCATTTTGGTTTTTCGAATCTAGATAATCCTTTTAAATTCTAGTTCCCGGATTTCTAACCTTGACATGGCTGGAGTACAACCGCTCCTAATTGTAAATCTGCCATCAACCTATTTCTATATTTATTAGTTAGTGAAAAAGCAGACTGCATTGATGAATTTAAGGTTGACAGAAAAAGGAAATTAAAACATGACCCATTTCCTTTTGAAATATGAGTTTCTGGTTAATGCACAGACAAGATAAACAAGAAAAGATGAAGACAAAAGAATTGAATAACTTTTAAGATGAAAATTAAAGATGTGTCGACTTATCTGATGAAACTCTTTTTCAGTTCGGGAGCTGCCGAAGTGTCAGAGAGTTCGAGAAACTCAACCGAATCGGAGAGGGGACCTACGGCATTGTGTGTGAGTTTGTTGTGGAATAACTCATCAGTTTGGTTCTGAAAAGTTGTGCGGTAGATTAACCTTTTCTCCTCTGATGTCAGACCGAGCCCGTGACACCAAGTCGGACGAAATTGTAGCACTGAAGAAGGTCCGAATGGACAAAGAGAAAGATGGTGAGGCCCGGCTTCGGCAGCAGCCCCCACAGATATCAACTTTTAGGATATTTACAATTCAGACAGATCAAGTTCTTATGTCACCCAAATGGAAAATCCATCGTTTGCATCTCAAAGCTAAAAGCACTACGTTCAACAGAAATCTCTCTCTGTCAGGGATCCCCATCAGCAGCCTCAGAGAGATCACGCTGCTCCTCAGGCTGAGACATCCCAACATCGTGGAGCTGAAGGAGGTGGTTGTGGGGAGCCACCTGGAGAGGTACGACACCCGAGCACAGAGCAGCCTGCTGATCCAAGTAAAAAAAGGATGGAGGATCGCTCGTTGACGAAAGGAAAGCAGGAACGTTCACAGCTGTTTTGGCTATTCTGAGCTGACCGCTTGGACTTGTGTTTGTGTTTCCTGTCTAGTTTGTTTCTGGTGATGAGTTACTGTGAACAGGACCTGGCCAGTTTGCTGGAAAACATGCAGACGCCATTCTCTGAGGCTCAGGTGGGTTCGCTCATATTCACATGTTACCTTCAGGGAGAGTATAGTGAATGGAAATAATCTGTTTTTGAGGATTTTTTCTGGTTTATATGGATTTGATTTCATTAGGGTATTTTAGTTTTGGCATCAGTGGATAAAACGTCCCCACAACAGCTTGCTGTTTGGGGGAAAAGTGGAGTTTTAGTCTGTTTTCAGGGTTTGGAAAGAGTTCTCATGGTTTGTTTTTAGTCTTTCAGTTTCAACAATTAAAAAAAACGGATTAAATCCAGTTCTATTTTATTTATATGACATTAAAAAACAACAAATACGAGACACTTCAAAGACGCAGAGTTACTTAAATGTTGATTTAATGTTGTCAGATGGAGCTACAGTTAAAATACTCCAGTTTTCATTGGACACTTTGGTTTACTAAAGATTCGGACCGGCAGCAGCACTGAAATAGTTTCTGTTTTTTATCCCTCACCAGGTGAAGTGCATCGTGCTTCAGCTGCTCAAAGGCCTGGAGTATCTCCACCACAACTTCATCATCCACAGGTCAGTCAGCGTAGGCCGAATGCGTTCATAGAAATATACTACAGATAAACCGTCATTGTTTTCAGGGAGTGTTGAACAAACAGTTATCAAAACGTATCCTTTCTTGATTAAGATGTCACATTCTATTGATTTCCTGTCACTCCTGAACAGAAAATAAGTTTTAGTGGTTGAAAACTCTGCTTCAGCCAGCGAGTTGGCTGAGAACGGGAAAGTGGGCTGGAAATCCTAATTAGTTTGAAATAGTCAAGCCCTGAGAGCTGATTTGGAAAGTCACCATGTGGGTTAAAGCCCACTCATGGACATGATGACAGTCATATTTGGAGAGCATCCTGGTGTGTTAACCAGAGACATTCTGATGACTATAGAGCTGTTTATAACAAATGTGTTCATCTCTGGACGTCTAACTGGTTTTATAGGAGGTTTGTGGAGCTGCAGTTGGTTGGCACACAGCTCTCTTTATGCCGATTACCCAGAAATCTGAACGCTGTAATCCTGAGCCATTCGTTTATCTGTTCTGAATCGAAATGAACTCGGACCGAATGCGTTTGACTCCTCCTGAGTGTGTGCGGGTTTTCGGGGGAAAAGCCTCGAACGCTGCCTCTGGAGCCGGCAGCAGCCTCATTATCCTCAATCTTGTTATCAGGGACCTGAAGGTGTCTAATCTGCTGATGACAGACAAAGGCTGCGTCAAGATCGGTGAGTCCTCGCCATTAACGGCGCCAGCTCTGCGGTTTAGGCGCTAATCACATCCCGGCTACACTGTTGTACATCCCCCAGCGACCTCTGACCTCTGCTGCGTGTCCCGTGTTGCTCTGCTGCAACGAGGGGAGAAATTACCCAGTTTGACAAAAAAAAAAAGTTTTAAAAAGACTTTTTTTTTCTCCTGGGTGACACAAAAATAAGCAGCTTTAAAAAGTTGTAAATTCACTATTATAGACTATATTGATTTTTTTAAAAATTATAACAACAGCGGGAACTTTAACATTTCTGCTCGCTCTCATTTACATTAAATGAAATAAAATGCTCTAAGTTTATAGAAATGTATATCAGAGGAAATATCCAGAGCCAAAAGAAGTTTCACCCTTAATAGAGCCATTTTTCTTCCACAGTGAGGCTCTTCTCTTTTTCCTCCTGTTTTTTAGTTGCACATGGTGTAATGTTTAGTTTGGGCTCTGGATTCTCACAAAAAGCCCCTATTTTAAAAGTTAAAGAAAACAAAAGGACAATTACCTGAGAGTATATAATTTATCAGAGCATTGTAAAAAAAACAAAAAAAGTTAAATCTGGGACAGATTCATTCGAGCTTTACAGGAAAATAAAATTAAATAAATAAATATATGAATATAAATATGATGAGATAAATATAATAATGATAACAATAATATCATAATTTAAATACAATATATTACATATAAATAATACAATATATTAAATATAAATAAATACAAATAAAATTAGTCTGAAGGCCAGTGAGTAAAAATGGGTTTTAAACTAGGCCACAGCCGTCTGAGCCGCTGTGTTTAGTGTTTCCTGAATGATGAGCTGCTTCCTGTTTTGCTCTCCCTGCACGCAGCGGACTTCGGGTTGGCCAGGATGTACGGTATCCCCCAGCCGCCCATGACCCCCCGAGTGGTGACGCTGTGGTGAGTGAGCCCCGTTACAGAGCCACAGCACCTCCCTCATCCCTCTGCTCCATTTCTGTTGACCTGTTTGTCAAATGCAGGCAACTCACAGCAGAGATGTTTTGGTTCCCTTAAAGGGACACCGTGTGGTATTTTAAGTATTTCATTATCTCAAATCAAATGTGTCCTCATTTGCTGTAAAATGACCTCTCCAATGATCTGAATTCTCATAAGAAAAGAATTTCCTATCTGTATATACACAGGACGGGTAAGCCCACGGAGGTTTCCATGGCGTTCCGCCATTTTGAAAAAGTAGAATGGCAGAGAGGGACATAAAGCACTAGTCTGCCTGTCTAGCTAATCCACAACGCGTTTTCCTTCAGAGTCACATGACTGAAACCCGATATAATAAGTGAGAGGAGGAATGACATGCTCACACTGATTCAATGCAGTTTGTAATTTCTTTCAAATTACACCATGTAGCTTTAAACCAAATGATTGTGGGATGTGTGCAGCCTCTGTTCATCCCTCCTGCTGCTGTCCTTGTGCCGCCTCAGTGGAAACTCTCCCCTGTAATCCCCGGGTGTAATCCTCCCCCTTTAGCTCCGTCACCTCTGCTCTGGGTAACAATGGGCTCTCCTTGGTGCAGGTACAGAGCTCCGGAGCTCCTCCTGGGGACCAAAACGCAGACGACAGCTCTGGACATGTGGTGAGAAAAAAAAAACAACCTAATCTCTGGTTAATAAAAGGTCTGAAAACGTGGCCTTTGGAGGCTGCGGCAGACCTGAGAGCCGTGTGTCGGTGGCAGGGCGGTGGGCTGCATCCTGGCCGAGCTGCTGGCCCACAGACCTCTGCTTCCCGGGACCTCCGAGATCCAGCAGGTGGACCTGATCGTGCAGCTGCTCGGGACGCCCAACGAGAACATCTGGCCGGTGAGACGTCAGCAGGTTTTTCCCTTTGGGTCAGAGAAATCCAACACAACACAGCACACACAAAGATACGACGTCTTTTCTTCCTTAAGCGTCTCAAACTTAAAAAGCGAAGCTCAGCGGCCTTCACACACACGTGATGTCACAGGTTCAGCTTCCTGTCGTCATTTCATCCCACTCCCAGAAAAACTCCACTGGCTTCCTGCTAAATCCCACTGTTTTATTCACATTGGTTTGTGTTTTGTGTTTTCAACCTTTGTCTGACCTCGTGCTTGTATTTGTTTTGTGTCTTCCCGAAAGGCGCCTATAAGAAAAAAAAAATTCCGGAAAGAATAGGAAGGAGCAAGGCCATGAGTCATAAGCACTAAGAAACTATCCTAACTAAACTATCCTAACTCTTTCCCATTCCTCTGTACCCTCTACTCCTCTTTCTGTGCTTCCCTCTATCTCCTCCTGTCACCACTGACTCTGACTGGGGATTTTCCTCCAGAGAGCTGATTGTCAGATTGATGAGAACTGGAACACTGTGTCTGCTTTGTAAGTCGCTTTGGATAAAAGCGTCTAAGTGAAACAGAAACATAAGAAACTAATAGGGGAACATCAGCCGCTCTGCGATCACAAAAGCCTGTTTTTTTTTTTTTTTCAATCTTAGTTTGATCTGAACGAGTCGTCTGTGCCGTGGTCAGGATTGTCTTGCGCCTCGGCAGGACGATCCATGATGACATTTGAATCTGATCCGTTCTCCTGTGTGCCGCAGGGCTTCTCCCAGCTTCCTCTGGTGGGTCAGTACAGTCTGAGGAAGCAGCCCTACAACAACCTGAAGAACAAGTTCACCTGGCTGTCCGACGCCGGACACCGACTGCTCAACCTGCTCTTCATGTACAACCCGCAGCGCAGGTGAGACCCCCCCCCCCCCCCCCAAAACGCACCCCGAGACGCCACGACTGGGAGGAGATTAGCAAAAGACCAGGCCGCCTGACACTGCTCTGTTTCCCCCGTCCAGAGCCACTGCCAAAGACTCCCTGGAGAGCTCCTACTTCAAAGAGAAACCTCTGCGTGAGTGACAGCCGGAGGCTCCGCCCCCTGTGGCCACGCCTCTCCGTGGCCACGCCTTCATTTCCCTCTTCTTCTTCTTACCTTCCCCCTTCCTTTATTTATTTTTATTTAATTTTTATATTTATATTATATATTTATTTATTTTACCTATGACTTTGGGTGTCGAGTCGAATATTTGATCAAATCTCACTTCATATGTTGCAAAATTTGTATGTTTAGGCCATCGTTAGTAGATGTTCTGGTGTATAGAGATTGATTGGTTGATTCTTCTTCTTCTGTTTCAGCGTGCGAGCCGGAGCTGATGCCCACGTTCCCGCATCACCGCAACAAGCGCGCCGGCCCCCCCGCAGAGAGCCACTCCAAGAGGAGCAAAGTGTGACGGGCTGGTGGGGGAAGGGAGGGGGGTCAGGTGTCACTGTGGGACTCTGTGGACTCCCACAAAGTTCAGGAGGCGATGGGATCTGAGGAGGACTGAAGCAGCACAATGTGGATGAAAGGCCCACAAGCTGGAAATGCACCAACCAGAGGATAAAATGAGATTTAACTTCATGTTTCTGCTCTAACGAAGCAGGTTTGGTCCTAAAAAGGATCATTTTCTTACTTTACCTCATGCTTTACGCGACCTGTTTAACCATTTCCGTTTTGTTTCCATCTTATATTCTCTCTTATTTTCTTAATTACTATTTTTTAAAGCTATTTCTTCTACTTTTTATTAAGCTTTTGCGGATGAGCTTCTTCAGCTTTTCACCTACTGGTCCTCTTGAGTTCAGATCCTTCACCTTATTTTTTTAAAAGGGAAACAGGCTAAAAGCAAAGAAAAAGAAAATAAATTAGCTTTTTAAATCAAAGGAAATCAGAGCAGAAACATAAAGTTTGGTCGCACTTTGTTATTTAGTTGGTTCATTATTTATTTTCTTATTTGAGACCTTTCTGTATTTCTGCTTGTGCTGTGAACTCGGTCAGTCCTTCGCTCCTTTATGGATCCGCTGCTGAGGAGGGCTTAAAGCTGCACAGCCTGCAGATGAAGCCCAGTCTGTGCTGCTCTGTGCACAACAAAAACACTGTTCCCTCGTTTTTTTCAGATTTTTTTTTAGCCTCTCAGTGATGAGAAAATCGACTAAATCCGACCGCTCGGCGACAAATAAGACTGTAATGACTGAAACAAAGAGCGGCCCAGTGGGTCTAAAGCTGCTCTGAGCCGGCGGTTAACCGGTCTTCAACCCCATCAGCTCAGATTTGAAGGCGTCTCTGTGAGCGTCCACGTCAGACTCGCCCCAAATCTGCTCCGGATCAACTTTAAAAATAAACACCTTTCAGAGAACGCCGTCTCTGGGGCTCTTTTTTCTGGGACTACTGGACACTTCTGCTGGGTTCCTGCTGTATTTGTGGAAAGAACCGGCCAGGGATCAGGAATGATTCCACCGGAACACGAAACGGGGTCAATGAAATGTCAGTTTTTATTAATTTAGGTTAAATTAGTAGTCATGGTAACATGGTCAGCGGCACATCGGGCCCCCTGACGGGGACGCTGAAAACTGAGCTCCCACTGTACCCAGAGTACCTCCACGGGCGCCGAAGAGTTTCCAAAAGTCCATCGCTGTCAGTCCTGTGATCCAGATGTGAGCGAGCGGAGAGCCCAGCAGCAGCTCTCCTCGCTCTGATGGCAGAAACTCGGACAGCAGCAACGCAAACGATGGCGCCTCGGAGGAGTTAGTGTGCGATCGCCGTCCAGAAACAAACAACAAACAACAACGGAGGTAATACTTCAAGTGTAAACGCACTGCAGCTCTATTAATGACGCAATTAAAGTGGAAACTGACAAATAAATTAGAGACGATGCTGCTTGACGCTGCTGGGGGGGGGGGGGCAGAAATGTGCTTGACTGATTTGCCGTGGCGAGCGTCTTAGTGTGAGGTACCGACCCGAGTCCACAAAGAGAGGCGATGAGGAGAGTTAAAGCACAATCTGACCAAAGTAAATGGCTAATTTGGTCACATTTCGGATCCGTTTTTGTTTTAGCAGGAGGAGAAAGTGTCCTTCAGATGTTTCATTTAAAAAGACCACCTGAAAAGGTGGCTGCTCTGGAGCTTTTCATTCTATTTCCTCTGGATTTATGTGTGCGTAGATCTGAGATCGGCTTTAAAGTCCAAACTTTACTGTGTACTTCTGGGGTGATTTCTCACCCAGTTGCCCGATTCAAAGTTTGAGAATTAAACTTTTCCCAGCAGCTGAAGCTTATTTTGAAATGACTCGGGTTTTTAAAAAACACAAGCGTAAATAATCTTGGTCTGTCAGAAAAAAAAGCAGATGTTCAGCTCTCGTTAGTTAGTTTAAGGCAAACTCAGACGGTAGAGTTTGGAGCTGACGACTGGAGCAGGATTTGGTGGCCTGGGCCATCAGTCAAGCACGTCTCTGGAATCCCCAATACTTCATTCAGACCAATTCAGAGGCTCAACCGAGACTAACTTAAAGTGAATCTGCATTAAATAACAAAAAAACAGGCTCTTAACATTTACACACGGACGTTTGGACGCACAGGCCTGATAAAAACACTGGATGCATTCACACCTGCATGCCTTGCATGAGCTAACTTCTGAGTTCGTCCTCCGTTGGGCTCCAAAGTGCACGAAGGCAGCCAAACGTACAGTCCTTCATCAGACGCAGTAGGCTGGGGGGGTAATGAGAAGCAAAGGGGCGGGTCGTGGGATCTGCCGGCCAGCTATCGAAGCACACAGAGGTTTTCTGGAGCGGCGTGTGGTCGGCGTCCTCCAGGGATTCTGAAATCCTCCCAAATGAGTCGTCAGACCGCTCGCTCATTCAGCATCCATGAGAGGCGGAAGACCGGAGCCCGGAAGGGAGCTGAAAGCCTACGGAGCGGTGAAATGGGTGAGGAAGAGCAGGGGGGGGGGGCTGTTGTAACCAAGGGGGGGGGGCGGTTTTGGCCGTTCAGGCGGACCAGACGGAAGGAGGGGCTCCGGCTCTCAGCCCTCCATCCCAAAGTCATCTGTGAACTTCTTCACTTTGAGCAGGTCCTCGGTGTTGACGGTGGGCCGGGTGGTGGACAGAGAGCGCAGCATGTCCGACTGGAAAGGAGACACAGCCTCGGTTATTGCCGGGATTCTGGGGCGTAAGAACACACATCAGCCAGCAGGTGGCGTCCTCTGGCCATCAGCTGTGATCGGCATTTTCCACATACGCTTATACAAATCACCAGATAAAAACACACCGGGCCCGTCTAATTCCTGACGACTGCTACAGCAAATATGACATAATCTGAGTCTATGGGGGAAATCAACATATGAATAAACACTTTCTTCACTTCTCTCTGGTAACTTTCCACAAGTGAATATCATTTTTCAGCTCTCAGCTGCCCTCACCTGACTCACACTTCAAAGATGTGACCCAAACCATTCTGACAGGGAGTTACCATCCCATCAGAGCCCCCTAACCACCATTAACCCCCCCAGGTGACCTCCATACCCCCCCAGCAGGAGGGACCAGAGCCCCCTTTGGTTTTCCCTAATTCTTTAGTTCCATCTACAGTATATTAACTCAGAGCTCCACCATCAGTAAGAACTTCTTGGGTCAGAGGCCAAACGTCTTCTAGAAAACTTCCCCTCCAGCTGCCTGACTGAACTTGTTCAGGCTTGACCTGGATGACTGAGGATATTCGCAGATGTCTTAAACAGGAACAGTTTGGTCCGTTCTGATGCTGGTCAGAGAGAGAGGGAAGGAGCAGAAGCCTTCAGGCCTCGGCTGGCTCACCATGCAGACTATGGGCTCCAGCAGCTTATCGCTGGGCACCTCCATCCAGGTCATCTCGATGGCTGCAGGGTCGCCGGGGGAACAGGGGGTCAAGAGGTCGTCTACCGTCAGCTGGTTGTTGCTCCGGGATGGACCACAAACCTATGAGAGAGCTCTGGTCAAAGCTTTTCACATAGGACGCAAACAGCTTCAACCGTTTGACTCTTTCCTCCATTTTATTGCCTTAAAAAAGGGTTAGGGTTAGGGATATTTCAACCAATCAGACTTTTCAAACAACACTGCAGATGCCAAATATATGTAGCAATTTAAAATGTATAATATAATTGATATTATAATGATTATAATAATTATAATATTTATAGTAATTATAGTAATTATATTATACTAATTTATATCACAATTATATTAATCAAAATAATTTATAATATAATTTACATTGGATTAATTATAGTAATCATATTAATTTTAGTAATCATACTAAATATATTATAATAATTTATAATATAATTTATAATATAATGATCATCTCTAAGGTTTTGGACTTATTTTGGGACAGTTGAAGCCATTTGTGGCAGCAGATATGCATTAATGGGCTTCACAACATGAGTTTCTTTTCACTAGTGTTGGTCTCCCACCTTTTTGAAGTGGGTGGCCGACTGGACCTTCCGAACGGGCTGCATGAGGGCGTCCCGGACGATGATGCTGATGTCGGCGCCGGAGTAGCCGTCGGTTTTTCGGGCCAGCTCCCGCAGGTCGGGCTCGCTCAGGCTGTGCGGCGTGTTGCCCAGATGGAGCCGGAACATCTGGGCCCGGGCCGGCTCCTCCGGCAGGGGGATGTAGATCCGCTTCTCGAACCTGAGCGGACCGGCTCGGTTAAGCCCACAACAACAACAACAACAACAACACAAGCTGCATCCTCCAGCCAGGAGACACTGAACCAGCTCTGACCTTCTGCGGATGGCGGCGTCCAGAACCCAGGGGATGTTCGTGGCTCCCAGGACCAAAATGCCATCGTTGTTGTTACCCACACCTAAAACACAATAATAAGAAAACCTCAGACACCCAAAAATAATCCTTTATCTCCACGTTCTCCTTTGACACATTTAACAAAACAGTCCGTGGAACATTTTTTTTCCACTTTCAGGGTCTGACGGAGGCTGAGCTGAGAGCGGGATGACACTCGGATCTCTGTCCTTGTTAAAGCTACACGCTGTAGGAATTTCTCCATCTAACTGTGAAATTGTATTCTGCATCCTAACAAATCGTGCTCTCTAGAGACTCCGTTTTCAAATTAATATTGCAGCTACGGTAGCCGTCATGCATCAAGAAGTAATGACAACATGACTTCCACATCATCCAGTTTTCTCTGACTGATGAGGTTTGGAATTTAAAAGAAACTACAAACTGCATTTAATCATTAGTGTGAGCAAGTAATTAATCCCCCAACAAGATAGAGAATTACGTTGCCATGTTTGTTCGTTTTTTGTTCGTAGCTTGCTATTAGTAGCCTTTGTTGTAGCTGGTTAGCTAACAACTTGACACAACGGACAAATGAATGTTACAGTATGAATCACAGACTGAAAAGGGCGCTTCTCACTTCTTACAGCTGGTTTCAGTCACATGACTCTGAAGGAAAACGCCTTGTGGATTAGCTAGACAGGCAGACTAGTGCTTTATGTCCCTCTTTGCCATTCTAGTTTTTGAAAATGGCGGATCGCCATGGAAACCTCCGTGGACTTACCCGTCCTGTGTGTATACAGATAGGAAACTCGTGGCTTATGAGGAGAAGTCAGATCATTGCAGAGGTCATTTTACACCAAATGAGGACACATTTAGAAATGAAGACAATGATTTTAGCTAGTAAAATACTTCAAATACTACTCAATGTCCCTTTAACTCACCCTGCATCTGGACCAGGAACTCGGTCTTGATGCGGCGGGCCGCCTCGCTCTCGTTCTCGTTCCGGGACCCGCAGAGCGAGTCCACCTCGTCTATGAAGATGATGGACGGCTTGTGCTGGCGAGCCAGGTCGAACAGGTTTTTCACCAGCCTGCGAGGCGGGGGGGGGGGAAAGGAGGGGTCACACGTTAAGAGTCTGTCTGCGGTTTGAGCACAGAACCCCCCACCCCACGGGGCACACACGCACTTCTCACTCTCTCCCAGCCACTTGGACATCAGGTCTGAGGAGGAGACGGAGAAGAAGGTGGAGTTGTTGGCCTCGGTGGCCACAGCCTTGGCCAGGTAGGACTTTCCTGTCCCTGGGGGACCAAACAGCAAGATGCCTCTCCAAGGAGTCCTCTTTCCTGAGAAGCAGAGAGGAAGGCTTGGTTGGGTTTCCGCTCTAAGAGGGAGTGAGTGTGTGAACAGAAGCAGAGCAGCGAGTCCCCCCCCCCCCCTCTCTCTGAACCATAGTTCTGCTCCAGGTTTCTGCCCCCTAAAGGAAGTTTTTCTTTGCCCGTGTCTGCTAGTGCTACTTTTGGTGGGAATTGTTGGGCTTCTGACCTGCTCTGTTTGGAAAACGCTGTGAGATGACTGTTGTTGTGATTTGGGGCAATAGTTATAAAACTGAATTGAGTTGCAAGGAGCAGCTCACCTGTGAAGAGGTGAGGGAACTTGATGGGCAGGATGACCGCTTCCTTCAAAGCTTCCTTAGCTCCCTCCAGACCGGCGACGTCGTTCCACCGCACGTTGGGTTTCTCCATGACGATGGCACCTGCAAACACAGGTTAAAAGTGAAGCGTCATGGAGGAAATCTTTCGCTTGGGGCTCCCCTCATGGCCTTCCCGAAATTCTGCTCTCTACAATGACACCAAATATCTATCTATCTATCCATCCATCCATCCATGCATCAGCCAAACTTCTGATGTTAACATTTCCATTTCTCACCCATGAGCTGCTCCTGCAGTTTCTTCTTCTCTGGATTTTCCCCTTCGCTGTCACTGTCGCTCCTTAAACGAACCGCAGAAAAGGTGAAGACACATTAAAGGTGTGACACAGCTAACATCAAAACGTGCCAGCAGGACGACTCACTTGTCATTGCTCTGCGCCTCCTTGACAGGTTTTTTGCCCTGTTTGTCTTTGTTCTTCAGGTAGTCCTTCAGCTTCTCGGCTCTGTCCAAATACTGCATGCACTTTGCTCGTATGCTCTCTTTCGCCTTGTCGCTGTGGGCCTCATCTGGATGGAAACATGGAATTCCAGGCAGCAATGTGACAGATGCAGCGTGTCCAGCATTTGGCTGCCAGTTAAGATGTCACACTTACATTTGATGGCATGTAGGAAATACTCCACAGCATGCTGGTACAGGCGTAGAGCCTCCTCATAATTCTTTGCCTTGTCCTCCTCTGTGGCTTTGGTGACGAGATCGATCGCTTTCTGTGGCAGATAAAGGAATAAAATGTCCAATGATGAATATCAGATTAATCAGGGGATGTGTGGATATAAATAAAAGCAGTGTTAGTCATCCTCATATCAGTCAGCACATGTCAAAGATGGTGCCTCTATCAAAACAAAGGATGACATCATTTTATAAACCTTATTCCACTTCTGTAACAATTACTCAACTTTACTCAGGTTGTTATGACCGATTTAGAATTATTCCACTTCAGGAAATCTATTTATTCCACTTGTGTAAAACTTATTCTGCATTTATAACACTTATTCCACTTTAGTAAGCCTATTTTAATCTATTTAGATCATTTGTTCCACTTTTGTAACACTTACTCGACTTTAATAATAGTTATTCAACATCAGAAAATCTTATTTTTCATTTATTCCACTTCCGTACAAAATTCCACTTTTACAACATTTATTGCAGTGTAATAACATTTATTCCACTTCAGGAAATCTTACTTATTTTTATTACACAACTTATTCCACTTGTATAACACATTCCATTTCTGTAACACTTATTCCACTTTTGTAAGACTGTTATAACCTATTTAAATGATCAAACTATTTAAATGATTAATTATTAATAATTTTCACAATATTTCAAAGCCTACATAACTATTGAAACCATTTCTGCTGCCTGAAAATTAGAAACTATATTTTTCCAAAATTCCTGACAAACTCTCCCTATGGAGCATGGATTTTTTTTTCATCTTTTGAAAAACTTATTCCCTGTCATGAAGAAAGTATAAAAATACATGCTCTACAAATTATTTGATCTTTTGTGTTATTTTTTTACAGTATCAATACATATTGGAGGTGCTCACAAACTTGGTGTTATCACTGTGTTCATGTTGTAGCCTTTGTGACCCTTTAAAAATCTGTTAAATTGAACATATGATGAAAACTGCTGGCCTGTTGTAAAGAGGGTGTATAAACTATTTTGAGTAAAAATAATAACAACGTTGCTAAACGTCTACGCAATGTAAATACCGCTGAAACTTGTAGTTATGGGAGGCAGTTTTTGTTGTTGCCATCTTTGTTTTGGTTCGGAATAAGAGGCGTAACTTCAGGAAAATCATTTAAAATCCCATACTTCTCATTACATATTAAGTGAGGCACCAGGTCGAATGTTCTCAGACTTTAAAGGTCCATGTAGGGCATAGCTATGTTATTTAATCACGGTCACAACATCCAAAGGGTAGCTTTGTGACTGAGCATAAGCTAATGAAAGAGATGCTAATGCTAAACCTTTCCATAGCCATGGACACAACTACCTACTGTTAGCTTACCTGTAATGTTGACGTTGTCATTTCATCTCACTCTTCTGCTCGCCGACCAGATTTCTATCCTCTGACCCTCCAAAAGGTGGACACGTGAAGAATTGAAATCGTGAGCAGACCTATTTCTAAAGGGGGCGAGTTGCAGGAGACATGACAAAACGGAACAGCGACTAATGCGGTGGTTAGCTAAAATGACAGATCCAGCCAACAAAACCACAGCAACACTGCGAGCTGTGACGTCAGCAGACGCAGCGATGTTTTCCGGGTGAGACTTTCAAGGTATGTGGGAAAATACGTCACCCGCACTTCAAATACAAGCATATTTGTCAAAATAATCACTGGCAAGTTATGACTAGGGTTTTTTTCTGATGAAATCGATTAATATTTTTGTGACCAAAATTGCGAAATGAGTATTTTAATTCTAAGTTTAGTTTGAAAATACATTGGAATAAATCAATTCCGGTTGCTTGGCTAAAACGAGAGCCTTTTACGACAGTAAATGTTTGCTGTGTCTGTTCAGGTTACAACAGCTACTGACACCTAGAGGTAAAACGTGTGGTACTACACCAACAACCTAAAGCTGCTGCTCCTTGCAAAAAAAGTGACCATGTTACCTGTAATTATAAATTAGCAAAAATAAAGGTCTTAAAGTAATTTTCACTCTTTGACACTTCCTACTGTTAAAAGATTTCACATCAATGTCTTAAAAACAAATATATGTGTGAGCCCTGCACATAAAAAACAATACACATGAATTTTTGTTCCAAGAATGAGTGTAAATAAAGCAAAACTAGGATGCAGGAGAGATTGGAGTGTAGTTTTCATTGAATGAATCTTTAATTTAACGAAGAGATCATGTGTAGTGCACTAGAAATGAAATATCAAATACAAAAATGGACTGTTGAAAAATAGTTTCTGAAAAAGTGTCTAGATGTTCAGCATTTTTATCTTACATCGTTTGAAGTTTGCCTAAACAAGAGAGTGACACTTGTCTAACTCTTAACATTTTTATTGATAGGTATTTACATTTGAGACAACTACATTGCTATCATACATTGTATACTGTGTTTTCAAAGAAAGTCTAAAATACTTTGCATATAACAAATTGTTGCAGCAGCACTTTATCCTCCTGTTACTTTCAGTTTCATGATTGTGTAGGACGCAAGCTGCCACAGATAATACCTTTGGTTCCAAAAACCCCTTCTTTGAAGCGTTGCTTTGCATAGACAGAGGAGCCACAATTTAAAAGAGAGAAGGGAATGAGATTAAAGGTGTACATTCACAGGTTCAAAAGGGGCCTGATAGGTTAGTGCACTGAATTAAAAGTGGGACGGCCTGCAGCTTGTTTAGGTTAGACAGACTCGGTTCACACCGCAGTAACATGATGGACATGATATTAAGAGCTTTGTTAAAACATTGTTAGATTTAGCAGGAACTAACATTAACTGAGCTAAATACTCCTCAAGTCTCCCACGTGAATGTGATGTTTAAAGGAAAGCGGAACCTACTTCTGCTTTAATGTGAGCACTGAAACCGAAACTACACAAAATTATATTTTCACTTCAACACGAGCGCGGCGGAAATGTGTTCCAACAACTGAAAGGACATCCAGTCCAAAAGAAGATAGAGGTCATTCAGATGGGAGACTGTGTTCCTCGTCCAAGCACAGAAGGGTTTTCTTGTTTTTTTTATTAGTTTCATGGTCAGTGGACACAATGGGGCATTGTTTGAGTGGTACAGAGCCTCTGCTGATCTGTAACTCAATATGAATCAGCAAGTGAAAATGGGTTGATCACGATAGACAAGATACAAATGAAGGGGAGGGAGCTGTTTTCAGTTTATGGCTGTGATTAAGTCACCTCAGTTTGAAAGGAAAATTGGCATAAATTAGGGATTCAAACAAATCTATGAAACATATTCTCAACATTAATTTATTTCCTAAATGATCTTCACCAATCTTTTTTCAGAGCTTTCAACAACATTTTGCTGTCTTCACTGTGTATCATCCTGACAAAATAAGAACTGAAAGAACCTGCAGCCATAAAAAGGCCAGAAAATAGCATTATTCATAATGATTTAGCAGCAAGTTTATCTAAAAAGAAATGGTGCTTTAGATGTACCATTTTCATTAATAAAAATAAATCAACCATATTCGCAGGTAGTATTTTAAAACTGAGAATATCAATAATTTCCCTCCAAGTAAAAACTGCTCAACATAATAATATGTTTTTAGTTAACCAAACATTTCTAGAAAGAAAGAAAAAAGATTAGCTAAAAACTTGATTTGGGATACTTTATTTGCATTAATTGAGATCTAAAGCTTATCTGGTGCAGACTATGTAAAGATATCTTGCTGGAAGCAAACTTAGCAGCAAAGCTAATGTTTCAACTGCCATTTGACAACTTCTGCCAAATGTTTTAGGTCCCTTTGAATAAATACGTTAGATTTTCCCTGATACTGTGTGGAATGAAGGAAATATGAGAAATTGACTTAAGTCAATATTTTATGGTTGAAGAATAATTTAAGCTGGTTTATAAAAATGAAAAATAATAAACTTAAAGAGTAAATTAAGTAATTTTAGTTTAATTCTAAACCTGAGATAGTAATCCAGTATCACATTTTTCTTGGAACTTTAAAAGGGAAAAAATAACTTTTGCTACATCCATGAAGACAGTGAAATGAGGTTGAAAACTTCTTAAGGGGATGACTGTTTCGGACTTTCTTTGGTTTTCTGACTATATAACTTAAACTGAGGTCACTTTACGGACAAAATATATCAATCCAGATTTATTTAAAAATTAATACGAATATATAATTTTTCACTTGTTTTAGGTTAGATCATTTCAGCAATGATCACATACCTTGGCCGGTCTAATTCAAATAAACAAAGGGAAATTACCTTAAAAAAACACAATTTTGAGGATGTATTTTGCAGTTTGTGACCAATGATTACCTGACAAAGGATCGATCTTTGAAGAGGACAGCTTTAGATTTTTTCAACCTATTTTTGTTCTCAATCTAAACAGAGGAAGTATCTTAATTTGGGTTTTCTTTTTTTGGTGATGATGGAAACAAAAGGCCAAGACAGGCTTAAAGGCATTGTGTTGAAAGTCACTGCAGGGTTACGGGGAGGTGAGCGGTTATGAAAATACGTCGGTCGCTCCATCGTGTGAAGGCCCACCTTTAGGACAACCTGTTGAACCGTCCTCTGTCAGAGAGAGGCTGTCGTGCGGATGGAAATGAGACAGGTAAACTCTAGTAAAGTGGATAGAAACATGAAGACTGAAAGTATGTGAAAGTCTGGGTGACGCAGGGGAAGTAACAGACTGTCCCGTCTTTATATCATCAACTGACGGAGCTCAGCTTCTGGAAGTCATGTCATCAGGAGACAAACACTTACAAAAAACAAACACAGGAACATGATTTCCAATATAGGAGTAATACTATTGCTTGTGCATGTTCAAAGCTTCAATCCTCTTATTACGTGAAATAAAAAAACGAACGTTAGAAAGAGTGTTGTTCACTACGTGTAAAAAGGCACAGTCGGCGACCCTGATTGCAGCAGTGGTTTGGGATGATGTGCAGACACACTAGCTAGCAGACAGAAGCGTGCAGTAAAGAGACGCCCCTCGCTCACACGGATCGTTCCTCACTCACGCCGTCTCTGCCCGGGTGAACCGCGGCTCTACGTGCTCGCACACAGAGACGGACATTAAAAAGAGCCCAGAGTACACTGGAAGGCTGTCACGGGGTGATAGGCATAGTTAAAACATGCTCAGCTGTGTGGTAACTACCTACAAAGCCCATCTTTCGGTAACTCAGATCCCGTCTGTTGTCACATCAGCTGATCGTACAGAGATTCAAAACGCCACGTGGAATGTTACGAGGCCGCTAACAGCTATCTTTTTTTTTTTGCTCGTTGAAGTAATCGTCTTCAACCTGGAGGCTTGAAGCTAAGCGCCCCTCCCTGTTGACCTCGCCTCGCAGTGCAAACGGCCGCCGGAGGCCAAGGGGCAGCTGGAAGGCACGGTGCTGAGACAATCGACGAAGAGACTGGTGGGTAAAAGTGTCGCCGCAGCGCCACCTCAGTCCTAACTTCAGCGGTGAATGAGGAAATTGGAAAAGAAAGAGAAATGGAAAAAGAAATCCTCGTGCTCGCGCTGCCATTGTTGGTGGCCTCACGTCAGGAGACCCATGCGGGTGAGTTTGGCCGACAGGAAGGAGTGGAGGACAAACACCACCGGCTTTGGACCCGAGTGGAGGTCGAACACCTGCAGGGTGGAAGGAAGGAGGGAGTTAGAGGTGTAATGGAGGATGTAAGAACTGAAAGCAGGACAGGAAAAGAGAAAAAAAAGACATCTTTGTTTCATACCTAACTTTGTATAAGCTGCTCAGTGTTACAGGAACTGATAAGCTGATGTTGGCAAAATTCAGATAAATTCGTAAATGCGGAAGAAACAAATTATATTTCACAGTTAAATCAAAGAAACTGGTTCCATCTGGATCTCTATATTTTTTAAACTTACAGGTTGCTGATATTTAGAAAGTTCTGTGTGCTTCTATGGCTGAAATAGCATTACGTACTCAGAGTACAAGCTTTGAATCACTCGATAGACAAGAGACAAATCCATTCCCTATATATTTACCATTTCCCCTTCTGGACCACCAAAGTCAAGGTAGAGGTTGCGTATTCCGTCGTCGGCGGACATTTTGAGCTTCTCGTAGGGGTATCTGTAGAGCACGGCGCCCCCCGTAGGGTCGGCCGGCTCCCTGGTCACAGTGAAGCCCTTCTCATAGTGCAGCGTCAGCCGCACGTCCTGCCGGTTCAACGTGCACCCTGACAGAGCGGGACACACAACAAAGAAAACCAGATGAGCCGGTGTGCGGACGAGCCGGTAGCAGAGCAAAAAAAAAAGAAGTATTTATTCACAGACTGCTCCTTTAACCATCAGGAAATATTTGAAAATATCTATAAAAATTACCCATCAGAATCTATGTATTATCAAAAGGACACATTTCCTAAAATAAGCTCATTTTATTTAATAAATGTTGATAAAACCTCAAGTAAGAGATTTAAAAGTGAGTTAAAAACAATCAAATGTAACAGAAATGTTTGAAAAAAGCTAAATGTTCACTTGAATATAAAGAGTAAATGCAAAAGCCATAAATGCAGCATCAGAGAATCCCACATCCAGCTTCTATTCTCAAACCTGACCCAATTGACCCAAGCGAATATTGGGACAAACCCATTTTCACATGAGCAGCGGCGTTAATCCGCAGCACAGAGACAAGCATATCTTTTCCCACCCCAGCCAGCCGGAGCATGACTGTGAGGTTATTTGATACAAAAGCATGTCCATGTGTGTCCCCCTAACCTGAATGGCCTGAATGTTTCCGCACAACTGTGTGTTTGTGTAGCAGCCGGACAGAAAAGGAGGAATTGTAAAAAAAAAAAAAAAAAAGGCAGAGGCTTTCCAGAACTATTGTTCAGATCCGAGCGGAAACATTCCCCTCTGCTGGCTCCCGCTTCTGCTTTTTCCAACACAGCGCTGCTCTTTTTGAGGCTGAGCTTCCTGCCACAGTCCCAAAAACCCGGAAGAACAAAGATTTGTGCATAGAAATCCCTTCAAATCAATGTATGTGAGAGGCTGCAGTGGAGGAACTTGTGCAGAGTTAGAATCAGAGGAAGGCCACAAACGCACCGCAGTGCGTGAGAGTCCGAATCTGCCTTTGAAGTGCCCCGACAGCAACTCAAATGACCCGTTTCCACTACTATGTTCATGTATAATGTTTTTAGCAAACGCTTTTATCCAAAGCGCCGCCTGTAACACGGAAGACCGGTGTTCGATTCCCAGACGGGGTGATACACATGTATATATTCTATGTAAGTTGCTTTGGATAAAAGCGTCTTCTCAATACATAAACATTCTAGTGGAAATGGGCCATTTGGTGTGGGGGGTTTTGGAGGCAGATTTGAGCCGGTAGGAGAGTAGTATTTACTCGACCAAACCCACATTTCAGGTTGAGCTTCGGCTCCGTTTGGTCTTCGCTGAGGCTGTCACTCACCAATGGAGACTTCTTTGATGAGCTCGGCGGCGGCGTGCGCCCCCTGCACCAGCGCTCGCGTCCAGGAGGACAGGTCCCAGTGGGTCTCCACTCTGAAGATGTGGGACTCGATGCCCCGCCCCGTCCCCGTGCGGGTGGCGAACACCAGGTCGGAGCCTTGAGAGGGGGAGCTGCGGGCGCCGCCGGAGTGGACCAGTCTGTGGACAGGAGCACGGCAAGGTGGGTGTGGGGGAAATTCTATTCTAAAGCCAAAGTCTGAGTCCGTCCAAGTGAGTAAGAAATAAAAAAAAGTATTAAAGGGAAAAGACTTCATGAAGGGAGAGCAACCAGCACGTTCATGCAACGCATCAAGCTGCTCCCAAGTAAAACCAAATCATAGTACATTTAACACCCCTCTGTGAGCATGGGATGAGGAGTAAAAACTGTCTCCCATCATAGAGTAACCTGCACCTGTCGCAAACACTCCTCAAGCCAAAACATTAAGAGATAAAGTATGAGAAGACCCTCTCCGGAGGAGGAAAAAGTCCCATGAGAAAGAAAAAGAACCTTCAAAATATTCACTTGTGGAAAGTTAAAGAACGTGATTATTCATATATTGATTTCCCCCACATGAGTAAAGGCCGGCCAGTTACCGGACCTCCGGCCGTAGCTTCTCTCTGCCTGTAAAACCCAGCCGACCTGGAGTAACCTGAATTTTTCCCCTTTCGGATTCTCAAGTTTGCAATCACTTTACCAGCTGACCTCTGTGGAATCTGTTCCTTATTCTAATCAACTTGTAGAAAATCGGATTTCCCCCGCTGCCGTTCCTCCGATTTTTACGGCTGTGTGGCCGAACTAAAGGGTCCCGTGTCTCCTGAGGGTCAGCTCTGAGAAACAGGAGCCTCTCAGACTTCAGCCCAACAAGCCCCTCGGTTATGCATCACCATCCATTCCAGACAATTTGAACAATTCAAAGGTCCAAACTCAAACAACAGATAAGTTTGTTCAAACAGAGAACTCATTCCTTCCTTCTTTGTAACACTATTTTGAACCTTTTGGCTTTTTGGTCACAAAAATATCCCAATAATAAAGGAAAATAAAGCAGACATGAGATTTTCCATGGACTCAATGTAGTTAAATACTTTTATAAAACTAATTCAATCTGCAACAATCAAATGAAGTTAAAGCACTTTATTATACATAAGCTGGTAAAAATTTAATCGTTCAGAACCCGGGGGTTAACTTTGTTAAAACTCAACCTGTTATGCGGCTCAACTTGGACTTCTTCATCTTCAGTAATGAGAATCAAGCACACAAGGAGCACAAATAATGTTTATCTAAGTTAAACGCAATCAGTTAAAAATGTATTTGATGAGAGAACACAGCAGAGTTTCAGGTACTTCCCACGTTATCACAGAGAGCTAAAATATTAAAGGGAAAGTTAGAAAGTTTATCTGTTCTGCTGGTAAATTTTTAGCCTGAATTTTACGGGAATCCCAAAAAACTCAGCTTTTCTCAAAAGTGCCTCAACAGTTATGACGAATTACGCAGCTGAATAGACCACAAGCTTTACTCTAGTTCTGAAACCTTAACATCAGACTAACAAACATGGTTAGAAAAAAACATTTAACTATAAAGCTGCTTTTTTTAGTTTGACAGAAGCAAAAACTAAGGGTGCAGTCAAATTCACCGTTTTAAAAAATCGCTCGGATATGAAGTAGGGAAGGGAAATGCACATCAGAAAGATTTCCTCTTTTCAAAATGAAACTACACGGCTCTTCTGTGAGGCCTCTTTCATGGGCTGTAACATTAGGACGCAGACCGCTGTTGACCCGGTCATTCCCAGTCAGAGCTGAGCTTCTTTTCTTTCCCTTTTTTAAGCCGCAGTCTTTACCTGGTGGCCAGCAGTGGGTGTGTGAGCAGAGGCCCGGACCAGGACTCTCTGCTCCATGGCACCGATTCAAACAGCAGGATGTCCTTCTCCGTCAGCGCCATGACCACCGGCCGGTGCTGCTGCCGCCCGCCTTCCAGCTGGACCTGCACAGGGGTTTTAGTTCCCATTAGCATCATTCCTGGAGGACAGTTTCTGCTTTCGTCTGATCTCAGGCTCTTGTGGCAACTTTTGGATTGAGGTGACCACGACAGCCCCTGCACGTAGCTGAGAGGCCTGACAAACCCCTCTGCTATAGAAGCCTGGGTTTGGATCTTCATTTCTAAACTGCCATTATCCAAAATGTTTAGTAAAAAACAAACAAAAAAACACTTAATCCAAAACCTGCAGTATCATTTCTGGGTTAAAAAAAAAAGGGAAGCATTTCTGGGTAACCGATTCTGATTTTACGACGGGGGAAGTCAGACATCGCTTTGAGAATTGAGTCAAAACAAACTGATGGTGAACCTCCAGTTGGCTTTAGAGGAACTCTTCAGGCTGAGCGACTGTCGCGAGTCAGCAGACGACAACCTGGGAGAAAACGGCATCCACCAAGGCAGCGTGGCCCTGTGTGTGTGTCTGCGGTGAGACGGTGGGCACGACAGGAAATGGCATAACACGGCGGAAACTTCCATCCGCGTTTCCTGTTTGATAAACTGCCACAGATCCACACATTCAGCAGCTGGAGGGATGGACGTCACCCGATGGGGAGAAGCTCTGAGCTGAGCTGCTCCCGTGGATGAATTGAGACCTGTGCTGATTTGGAGGTGGAGCTTAAATGTGGGACAGGCGCTAATTCAAGCAAGCATGCGCTTCCTGTTGGGTTGGAACAGAAACGGCGGCTTTGAAGTCTGAGGTCAGGGACTGTGCGTTTATTTACGCAAATGCAGAGAAAACAAGACTGAAAGAACACCGCCAGCAGTTTTGCAACCGAAACTGGACGACTCAGAAACCAAATGTCAATAGGTCGATTTAAAAAAGATTTTGGAACACAGCAGAATGTTTTCAGACCACTTTAACCAAAATCATGTCTGATAAATAACCACTGGGCCCCATAAACCTTATCAAGACCTTTGCGTTGCTTTTTGCAGATGTAACGAAACACAAAGTGGTAAAATGAAAAAAATTATTACTGAAATCTCAGATATATTCCGATTCACACAGATTTAAAGTTTGATCGAATGTGGATATCTTATTGGCTTATTTATGCGTGTACGCATAATATACGTGAACTGAATGGTAAAGTATCTTTTAATTATCAATTGAAAATGCACTATTTAAATTTGTGAGTAGTGCATTAACATGGAAGTGAGAATTCATGTAATAGATATGAATACAATAACTTATTCAGAATGATTTCTGATGACATATATAATAATGTCTACAATGTTTAATTGTTAATTGATTTTTGTTTTGTCTCGTGGAGCCCAGGAAGACGAGCTCGTCCCACTTTTGGTGACAGCTAATGAGGATCTTTTACTTTTATCCAAAGCGACTTACAAAGCAGACACAGTGTTCCAGTTTTTCATCAATCTGACAATCAGCCCTCTTGAGGAAAATACCCAGTCAGAGTCAGTGATGACAGGAGGAGATAGAGGGAAGCACAGAAAGAGATTAGAGGGTACAGAGGTATGGGGAGGAGTTAAGATAGGAGATGCTCTGTGAAGAGGTGGGTCTGTAGGAGTTTCCTGAAGACAGACAGGGACCTTCTGCTCTTGTAGCGAAAACAATAAACAGCAATAAACGCATTACTGATATTTATTTGGGTCCCTACTGGACCCAGAAAATTTTAACACTGAGAACTAAAAAAAAAGGTCTCCAGGCTTTAACGTGTGCATTGTGCATTTTTTGAGCAGAACTTGCCTGTTCAGCCAGCCAGCCGATGTGTTTGAGGTGAGGGTGCGTGGAGGCTGCTGACGAGGCCCCCAGGTAGGCGTTGATGTGCGCCAGGGTCTGAGGGAGGAGGGCGGCGATGTTGGTGTGGATGGCGGTGAACCAGGAGTTGGCGGTGGCTCCGTCTTTACAGCGCAGCACCACCGTGTGCTGGCCGTCTGGGGAGTGGAGCTCCAACAGCCTGTGTGGATCAGAGGAAATAATCTGGATCAGGCCTAAAAATGGGAACAGTGATGGTAACAAACAAGATCCGGTTCTTCTGGGTTTTTTTCCGAAGGAGATTTAACCCAAAAAATCCCAAAGGTTACTAGAAAATAACAAGAAAACACTAAATATTTGTTATACTTGACACAGTGTGTCCTCCAAATTTAATTTGTCTGTTCTTTAAGGTGAAAAGGTTTTAAAAATACACTAATATAAAAGGAAAAATCCTTCAAAATTTTCCATTTACCTACATTGTGCTCAATAGCTCACCTTTTTAACCATAAAAAAAACGCACATCGACTTACAAATCGTTGCAAATTTACTGAAAAAACAATGTATTTCTTTTGGAGGATGGAACGGTGTCCATCTCAGCTTACATGAGACTAATAACTACCTTTAAGGACGTCCATTTTTCAAACCAAACTGTTGGAGAGGCTTTAATATTCAGCAACACAGAAGCTGGTTACTGCTCTTAATGTTTCATCATAAGAAAGAAAAAAAAAAAAACATTCCAGTCTTATGAAGTGAAGTTATGCTCAGGAAATAATCCAACATGCAACCATACGTGACCTCCCACACACTCAGGTATTTCTTGGCAACACACACACACACACACACACACACACACACCTGTTTTCCAGGTCCGGCATGGTGAGGTTCCTGCTGATGAAGCACATCTTCAGGCTGATGACCTTCCGGTCTTTGGAGCTGGAGGAGGAGCTGCTGTGTTTGGGGGAGCCCGAGTCCTCGCTGCCGCTGTAGCTGGGCGACTGCGGCCGGATGCCGTCCCACGGCAGGTCGGCGACCAGCGACGGCTTCTTGAAGAGCGGCGAGACCTCACGGATGTACTTCACTGTACAGAATTGTTAGAATTGGGCTCTAGTTACTCACTTCAGCGTTGTATGCTATCACATAATCCATGTAAATGACTGACTGTCTTATTCTTTTTAGAACCATACTTCAAGGTCTACACACACTCTTTCCTATCACATTCCAGTGAAATCCATTCCAGGAGCTGGCCTGTTCATGTCAGAGCTAACTGGCCAATAGTACTCGGCAGTGTCCAGTTTTCCAGGCCCAGCCCAGAAGATAAATGTCCATCACACCTGGATTTTGGGGCTCTTGCCGACTGAGATCCTCCAGGAGCTTTGTCTGTGAGGGCCCAGCGCTGATATACTTTGCAATAAATGTCATATTTGTACTCTTGAGCTGCTCTGGTTTATTCTCAGGCTTCCAGCTAAAGAATCGGGCTACAGAACAAAAGAATACAAATCAGGATGTCAACGACGGGAGCGGCCATCTTTTCAGAGGCTGAAAATCTACAATGTTTTGTGCTCGTTTATTGCTTTATGGCCACCAGTAAAATTCAAAGTATGTATTTTTACGGTCTGATTGTGACGGTCGCCGCGACGACCAGGAATTCAGTTGGATTTGTTTATTTACAATTTACACCGTTTGTGAAATAACAACAAGAGTTGCTGGGCTACCAAGACTCAAAAACCAAGAGCTGATTGGTTCTACACTGCAGAATGTTTTGGCATGAATCTGATATCGGGTTGCATCGTGGTTGGCTTAGCAACAACTATGGTTCATTTTCAAATGGCGTGTGTAAGAGCGTTTATCCAGCTCTATATCTACAGCACGTCTACGAACAGAAACTCACTGACAGAGCATTCAGTGATACGATGCACCATATTCCAGCTTTTCCTGATTTAAAAAATAATAATTTTGCCCTTCGCCAGCCAAATTAGGTCAAATCCTTTCAGACTTTGGGAGATCCTGAGATCCTCAGATGTCCATTGCAGAGTGAACCCATCAGGCTGCTGCAGTTTGTTAGCAAAAGGCCAAATCCATCCTGAGCCAAAAGCGAGGCAGCTGTTGTACATCCACATATCAGGCCAACGTCAGGCGGAGGCTGCCACCAGCTGTGGAAACCCACCCAATAACGGCTCGTTACCGAGGACTCGGGGGGGGCAGCCGGTTACGAACCCACCCAGAAGGAAACACTCAGGGATGTTTCCTGAGTAAGTCAGAATTTCAGAACCAGTTATGGTTGACCTTTTTTTTTTTTTTTTAAACAACCCTGGAGAAAGCTGAGGCTTCATTCTCTAAACATCTCATCCAGTGTTTGTAAGCTCTGTAGCTTAAACACAACTATGGGCCTAATAGATCATGTTCCTACCAGGAAAAGTTCCTACGATCCTACGAAGTGGTCTCCTGTGTGGAATTATCTTAGGAAAACAAGGGCTGGCTTAGCTGTACAGATGTGAGCTCGGCCAGTTGGCTGGCTGTTGGAAAAGTTGTTTTTTTTACTCTGATGTGATAGATTCACTCTCCAAATTTGGTGCTTTGGCCTCCCATCCCCACCGTGGCCTCACTGTACTCTCTCCTCTTTTATCCTTCTATGCAGTCACATTTTTACCGAGCAAAATGAAACGTGCCAGAAAAGCTCTCGTTTTCATTTTGGGGAAAATAAGAGGGTGAAAGTAAAGGCTTTATGGGTATGTGTGTGAGTTGGACAAAGGGTCCATCTGCTCTGAAACCTGAGACCCAACTCACAGGGGATGAGATCACTCTTGAATATGGACTGAAATATTAGTTTTAGAGGTAAGCATGCACTAGAGAGAGACTTAAAGCTGCTCCTACCCAAAGGTTCATTTCAAACATAAAAGCTGTATTCACTGAGTACGTTAAAGCTGTGTAAGCAAAAAGGGAGTATTCCATGTTTTAAAAATAGGAGATTAGGTATATTTGGACAAAAATCAAAGATCAGTTAAAGCAATCTTGCAAAAAAGAAATGTCCACTTAGGTACGTGCTGTAATTCTAGTAGAAGAAGACATTTTCTTGACCATAGATAAACCTTAAGGAGAAAGAACACAACAACTGTAGTGGTGGGCACAGGAGGAAAAGGGAGACCTCCTACACAGGGATGACTTTCTTCTCTGTGAAGACGTCAGTCAGCAATGTGGGTTCATGTGGGATCAGAATGGATTTAAAAACTAATGTGCATCAAGTCCTCTCTGAAACGAGCGAAAAACCACCTCACATTGCGCGCCTAAACTTTGCTGCAGGGGGCTGAAGTTTGGAACAAGTTTGTGCATGACTCAGAAAGAGTGGGTCCGACCAAAGATCGATGACTGATCTGCAGCAGGCTGCACGGTGCACGCTCCCGTGTACATTACTCTGTGCATGACTCAAGGCTGGGAGGGGCCTTCTGCCGGGGAAGGCGGCCAAGGCGGTCTTTTTTAACCACACCGCCCAAACCAGCACGCTCTGAGGCCATTTCTGCGCGAGAAAGTGAGTGTGAAAGCATTCCTGGATTCATGTGTTTATGTGATGAGGGTTCCAGGGAGAAAGATGTCTCTGCTGGCAGACTGATGACCCGATCCGATGCAGAGATGATCAGCTGAAATTTTGCATCCTAAAATGCAAAGCTGTCACACAAATATGAGGAGAGGATACAAGCACTGGTCGGCCCTTGTGTACTTAGACACCCATGAAAGAAGGCGGCTACCCAGATCCAGTCATTCCAACTCATGTCAAGGGTCAAAGAAAGAGCCGAAAGTGAAAACATACTGCGAAAATGGGTCAGATCAGGTCTGGCTGTGTTTGGATGTCCCTAATATCTGGTGTTTGCATGACATCAGAAAATAACTCTCAACCCCTTACACTCCTGGATCTAAAAAAATACTATCAGGGAATGGCTTCATTTTCACAAAGCAGCCACCACAGACTAATGTACCCCTCCAACACACAAATACACGCACACACTCTGATCTAACCACTCTCCAATTTACAGGAACAATTCCTTTTCCAGAAAGAAAGCTGTGCTTCTATCACATTTTCAACTGTTCAATAAGAAAATGCTTTAGTATTCCACAGAAAAGTCACCAAGAAGGATTTCAGGCAGTAACTAGTTCCCCTAACATCAACCACAAGTGATCACAGATGTATTTGTTTGGCTTGTTTTGTGTGCTCTTTTTGAACCTTTAGACTTCTGAATCTGTGTCAGAGGGCTGGAGCTCCCACACAGTTCCTCTGTAAATCAGAAAGGTTTCACAATGGTGGCTGCTCTCTGTAAAAGGGAAAGTTATGGCAGTGGGTTCTGTGCAGATTACCGTCATCACTGAGCACAACCAGGCTTCGGGTCTCTGGTCTGCAAAACATATTCCGCCATATTTTTCCCACTTCTGCTGAGCGGCATAAGGCTTAAAAACACGTGTTCTCAGTAGTTACTGCTGGATGTGGCGTTACTCGGTGGGTTTTGTGTTTTTAAAAGAAAAGAAGCCAAAGAAAACCACCGTCATCCAAGATCTGGGACACAAAGAATTTGTTGATTTCATCAGAGGAATAGGCTGGACGGTGGGCGCTTTAGGGGAGAGGAGACGGGAAAGAGGATCACAGTGGGGAGAGCTCGGACCCCTTTTCTCCGACTCTCTTGTGTAAACTGTAATTACGTTCATGCCTTGCTGCAGAGGAGCCTGCGACTGCGGTGTTGTGTAATTTGTTGGCAGTGCGTGGTCGGCTCTACATCTGCTTCTGTTCAGTTTCCTTTCTTTTGGTTTGGGAGCAGCTGCGGGCTTTGATGCCGTCGCAGAAATCCGATCTATCAGCGCGGGACTCGGGCTGCTGCAAATGCTTCGGTCGGCCTTAGACTGTGCGCCCCTTCTGCGGGCCGAGCCGTCGGCTGGACGTTGGAGGGCTGAAGCTCAACAACGGGCTCTGAGCTGAGGACAAAAGTCAGGACCCAAGTCTGGGTCTCTCTTTCTAAAGTTTCTAGGACCTTCTCCAAAAACTCAAGCTTAAGAAAGGTTTTTCTCCGTGTTCCCACCTTTTTCCTGCCAAAACTAATAACTTTGTTCACAAATAAGAAGCTTTATTCCCTTCTTGTCATGGTGGACATATTGTTTGGCTCTCATTGCCCTGCAACACTCTGGCTTTGAATCAGACTTGTCCACAGAGAACAAGCTGGTCTGTGCGTGCTAAGATGTTTCTGTGTTCCTCAGTTAATGTCGAGCTACCATCAAACATCCCACAACGGCGTCTCGTTTGTCTCTTTTCATACTTCGCTGTCTGCGGGGACGGAGGATGGACGGATGAACAAGAGGAGATAGAGGAGGAAGAGGAGCAGAGTCTGACTCAACACATTTTTGGCTGTGGTCATACTTGTGGCTCAAAGCTACCAGTAAAACTATTCTTTTTCACCACACACACAGAAGTAATCATCTGACGGTATGGCTGAAATAATAGCTTACAGAGCAGAGAGCCACTCAGTCAGACCCCGGCCTCTGTTTTTCCCCCCAAAACTGCCCAGAAATTCCCCTGCGGTTTGGCTGGCCTCACTCACTTTTCTTTCTTCCCTCTCTTATTCCACTCCATCCTCTATCCTCAGCCTTTTCTAGCGGCTCTTCGTCTTTTTCATCCTTCATCCTGTTCGCTCCGTTCTCACGGATCTTATAAATCACACCTTTATCTCCTTGTTTGGCTCCTTCCCTCTTCCTCCTTTAAGCCTCTCTGCCGGAGACCTAATGAGAACAACGTGTCAGAAGGCAGATCCAACTAAGACTGGACCTGGATGCGTGGTTCTCTTGTTGATCCTCCACCAGAGCACGCATACAGTCACCAGCTCAGCTGTCCGGCCCCCGTCTCACCAGGAATCTAAAGCACAGCGCCACCACCCGCTCGACAACGCGGCCCAGTACTTCTGAACAACATTCATCCACCAGAGAATGACAAAGTCACAACCAGCAAGTTTAAAGTCAATACAGGGAGCTGAAAGGCCGAGTTGGTCCGAACATAAACGAGCTCCAACAACCAAGACCAGCCCATTTCAAGTCAAGATGAGGAAGTTCCTGTTTC